ATAAAACATCCGAAGATGACGGGGGAGACCCGATTTACCGTTGATTATGACAAACACAAAGTAAGTCATAGATCAACGTTATAGAGCATCACTCACAGGTTTAATATCATCGACATCAACCTAAACCAGTCATGTAGTCGGCCGTGATCTTAAGCTCTTTACCTCGGTAATTACACAATAATCACAATGYCTATTACCGAGTGAAAGTGAGAGGATGATTTRGTGATTACATAATAATCACAATGCCTATCACCAACTTACACTATCATTCCCACGAATAAAAATAAAACGATATACATGCACTATATAAATATAAATAATGACGTAGTATCGTACGATATTTATATATATAGAAAAATGAGTCATAAATAATATGAGGGAAAGTCAAGACATCCGAAGATGACGGAGCACGAAGTGAGTCATAATTCGACGTTAGAGAGCATCGCTTGTAAGTTCAATACCATTGGCCTCAACCTAGCCAGTCATATAGTCGGTCGTGATCTTAAGCTCTTTACCTCGAAAATTACATACTAATCACAATGTCTATTTTCAAGTGACAGCGTGAAGGTGGTTTGGAATTTACACAATAATCGCAATGCCTAACTTCACTTCACACCATCCTTCACGCAAGAAAACAAAGGAATGATCCTCCATGCCACTAGGCCTATTACATTCGAGTGGCACACTTGGAAAGGTACCATAAGCATAACATGGATGAGCGTGGAAACAAGTCGCAAATAGATAACACATGTCTAGCAAATAGCAAGTTAAGTAGCCCCAAAACTCACAGTGCTTTATGATACTCAAAAATCGAGCCAACCTAGGCTCTACGTCCATATACGTCTAAACATCGTCCAACGGTCACTCTGGAAGGACCAAGTGAGCTTATTTAACACTTGTAATATGTACCCAAAGTTTCATAAAGGTCCGACAACAAAAACTTAACCAAACTTAATTTAAACTCATTTTAGGCACTATAATTCACAGCTCAAAATTAGCTTTTTATCAGTTTTGAGACGCAAATATAACCAACCTAGAAGTCTTATTTCTAAAAAATGTCTAAAGGACAGGTTTAGATCTACATATGAGCTTTCTAAAATGTCCAGAATCGTAGCAATCCGAGCTACGACTAGGAAGTTATCGCACATTCAAAACAGCATCTCGGGTAGATTTGGTGCTGTCAAATTCACCAACTAAATAGGCTAAAATCCATATTTTGGATTCAATCTTTATTCCAACAATCAAAATATCATCTAACCATGTTTATATTATTGATTACAAGGTCAACACTCAAGAATTTCACCAAAATAGCCATTAATGAAGAAAATCAACGGAATGATCATTTCCCATGCAAAAGGAATCCTCAAGCCACTTAGTGAAAGATTTTTATAATTCAACGTCTAATAATGCTTAGAAAAATGGTTATTCTACCTAAAGTGATCAAAACCATCTACCCAATCCAATTTTCCTCATTAATGGGCTCATCCGAGTTCATCTCCTTCAACCAAAATATGATTCATCTAACATAGTTATTTTTATCTAAGCATTAAGACTTTAGGCATAAAACACAATATTAATATAAGTATAATGATTTTAACGGTAAAAGTGGACTCACAAAGAAGGGTTAGGGGCTGTCCAAAACTCGAACTAGGAGATGGGTCAAGACGGGACTAAACAATGCAGTGGCTCCTACTCCGAGCGGCAACAACCGGGGTGCACTTGAAAGAAAAGGGAAGGCGTGGACTCCCGGCTTGGTCACGGCAGTGCAGAACGAGACACGGTAACAGCCGTGTGCAGTCGGTGATGAAACAACCCCTGTGCAGTGCTCGGGAACAGCCTGTGCGCAGACTGTGAGGAAACAGCCCCTGTGCAGTGCTCGGGAACAGCCTGTGCGCGGTCTTGCCTGAAGACAGCAGCCGTGAAGACGCGAGAACAGTTGCGTGAAGGGTGCAGAAAACACGCAGCTCCAGCTGCTGATTTGGCGTGGCAGCGAAGTGTAAAAGTAAGACAGCAGCAACTGCTGTTTGCTGCTGCTGTTGGGAGTTTGAATGGGCACAGAAACCTGCTGGTTGAGCAATGGAGATAAAGGAACGAGGGATACGGTGGACACCTACTGCTTTGCTGCTACAGTGCGCTGCTTAGGCAGTCGAGAACGAAGGGAAACCGGCAGCGGCGCTGCTGTGTGCTGCTGGTTAACGGATGAAAGCACGCAGGTGGTACCTGCTGCTGCTGCTGTTTTGCGATGAATCGGAGGGCACCACAGTCCTTTCTTGCTGCTGCTGCTGTTGCTGGTCGAGGAAGACGCAGGCGCTTCCTTTCTTGCTGCTGCTGCTGTTGCTGGTCGAGGAAGATGCAGGCGCTTCCTTTCTTGCTGCTGCTGCTGCCGAACCGAGGCGTGACGAGAAGACGCAGCAGCTTGCTGCTTCTTCGTGGACCAGAATGAGTTTAACTTCCCCTCCTCCTTTCTTCTTTCTTTCCTTTTCTTTTTCCTAAGGTTGCTCCCCCCCTCCCCCACGGTGAAGCCCCCTCTTAACACTCTTCCCCATGGTTTTCACTCTTTACATGGAGGTTAAGGACCTAAATGGAAGACGAAAACTCACTAGGTAAGGGTTGAGATGGAAAAGGTGGGTCAAAAAGGAGAAAAAAATCCGGGTGTTACAGTCCTCCATTGACTTTCTAAAAGGAACTGCAACATTGAGAGAATAGTGCTCCTGTGGAATGTTCAATCAAATTTAGGATTGAAGATTTACATGGAGAATAGCCTTTTAGCTAAAAACAAAACAGCATGACTATCAAACAAGGTTATTTTCTTGAACGAACACCAAACAAGATTAATTCAACACACGGAATTGTAAAGTAGCACCACTTGAGAAAACGGAAGACTAAGCCCAACCACCATTCATCGTTACAGAACTTCATTGACTTTGAGAAGAACTTCATTTGACCCATATTAAAAGCTGCCACGATAAAGGTTTCAGGACATGTAGTAGGTCTGGGTGGGTTCGAACCACCAACCTCAGGAAGGAATATGATTTAACACAGCCTTCCTAAGCACTCTTACCATTTCTCGAGCTTACAGACCTTCTCATCGAGAATCAAATCTTACTTTTACCCATTTTTTATGGTAAAGACGTTGTTTTACAGTCTATCACTCGAGATTCAAAATGTGTACCTGTTAGTTGTTTAAAGAAAACATCTTACCCATCAATTGAAATTCTCACCAGAAAATAAACAATTTTTCAGTGGGTTACAATCTTTGCCTGCAAGAAAATGTTGGCAATTTAAACCTACTCAAAAAACAATAAAAGACCGTCTTAATGATGAGCACCCAAAATCCACTTCATGTAAATCATAGTATTTGTCAAAGAAAAAGAGATGTAACCAAAATAAAATCCAGCTAACATAATGAAAAACCAATAATCCAACACGCTATTTTTCATGAACAATAAAATAAGTCGTTCATATCTAATTAGCTACTCAAATTCGAGTCAATCTTAACCACACCAAAACTCTTTTAAATTAATGAGCCGAGCCTCCATAACACCAATATTAGACCCGTTTAAAAGATAGGTTAAAATTTTCAAGGCAAGCAATTAGAACATATTTTTTGAGTCAAACATGTCCAAATGTTCATAAATCACATAATCAAAACATAGAAACCATTAAAATCAAACCAACAAACAAGCTAATTGATCTCAAGTTCAAACCCAAGCTCAAACATTGAGAAAATATTCAAGCTCAAGCTCAATCTCTACTGTTAAAAATTCATTTGAGCTCGAGCCCTACCATGAAAAATTCATTTGAGCTTGAACTTGAAAACAAGAGTATATTGTTAAAAAAAGCACCAATAGAACTTTTTAAACCAAATAAGCAGCTAAGGGGACAAGAGGTCAGCCCAATGCAAAGGAAAAGCGAACAGAATCCCCTGCCCGCTCAGATACAATCATTGACATTAGTATTGCAAGCTAAACTGTTGAATACCAATACCATTGCAAGAACTTGGAGTAAGAGGTGATAGAATAACTCACTTCATACACAAAAAGGATGAGCCGTTGCAGAGTGCAAAATAAGATGTCAACCAGTAGAATGAATATTTCTAACCAGTCTTCAACAGCATGTTTGCATAATCCAACTGCAAAATGTTTTGATTCTTGCAGTCTTTATTTATCCAATAATACAATCAGTACAAAACTGCAATACATTTCGCATTTACCAAACTGCTATACATTTCCAAGTCTTAAAAAATATGAAACAAACGAAACAAGAATCATGAACAGAGTGCATGTTAGAAGACATGTAGGCTACAATGTCAAAGCATGTGGGCAAAAAACTAACAAATCCGGAGCAAACATAAAGAGGCAAGTCCTGCATACTATAACCCACAAGCTCACCTGTCATGGCAGTCAAGGAAGTTTTTAACAAATACAAAATTAGTAAGCAAATCAGCAAAATAACTAAGTCACAAACCAGACACGGCTAAGACCCAATTCCAGATCATGACAGGTCACAAAGGGAACACCATGCCAGAAAACCTTGAAAGAGATGAACTGCAGTCTCAGACCAAAGTGAAATCAAGTCTACAGCCAGAGCCTAGATGGGAAAATGACACCATCACTACCCGTCAGATATTCTCTCATTCTTTTGCTCTTGATGATATGCAATCCACTCTCTATAAAAGTCCTCCGTATCTTGAGCTTCAACCCAAAATGAATGGTAGCAGAAACCCAGTAGAAACCACAAGAAAATTCTGATTAAACAAACTACACAGTAACCTTGTTCCAAGAACCTAAAGACTTGACAGAAGTATACATGAACAATGGAGTTTAAGCTCTACCTGCTATGAAATAAACAATGATCTACAAGCTTCAAATCAATATATGACTCATTATAGAATAATAATGGAGATATGAGACGTTGACCAAAATTGAGACTTAGCATGCACAATATCTGATATAGCAGCAACACACCACACGTGTCTAACTATTAAGATTTCGATGTAATTCAAGCAAATTGCAATTTCACATGCTTTGTATATGCTATGAAATTAGGTTTCCTATTACAAATAACTTGCAGATTCTACCTCGAAAATAGTTTGCGTTACGTTTTTCAAACACAAATTTGGAACCCTTCTCAAATTGTTGCACCAGGTAGGATATCGGTGGGCATGCCTGATCTTCAGGCGAATTAGCAAAAGATACCATGATTGTAGCCTTTACATTGCATACTTTAAATCTGCTTGGAAAATAATGGGACATAAAAAAATAATGAAGCCAAATCATATCGATAAGCTATTTGGTTAATCAATTGAATTCTTCAATGGTTCGTAATGGAACTGAATTCTTCAATGATGATGTAATGGAACTGAATTCTTCAATGATGATGTAATGGAACTGAACTCTTCAATGTCTACACAGATGGGAGAATCAGCGTGATCTATTATAGTATAGTTTGATAGCGATATATTTTTACTATTCTCTCAATATTGATAACGATATGGAGAAATTTGGCTAAATATACCTTTTGCCGTCAGGTTACTTATTCCTTGCATATGCGGTCTGGATGTTGAAGCAGTTCCCACGATTTGTAAGCAACTTTGAACAACGATAAAAATAAACCGACCAACACACGATATGACAACCACACACACACACACACGAGCACGCAACACCAGGGGGAGAACCCGGCAAACCACCGTGCGAACTCCCCCCAAAAACAAAAATATTTCTTTTTTATTAGGATCTGGTGACCTGCCATGCGAGCGTACCCATCATGGCAAAGGCCAATTAACACATATATACGAGACCCGTCAGGGTAGCCTTACATCCAAGTACAAACCTGGTAGCAAACTTCAAACTTCAAATTTTCATCCTAGATCATATCACCAAGCTTCCACAACAAATCGATTTCATCTCTGACATCAACATCCATCAACAACACACGAACCTCATCAAAGGAAACAGACCCCCGAGCCCTACAAAGATAGGTCCTGTTGAGTAGCATAGCATGACAACAACCTTCAGCAGTCGAACGTTATGCCAAATAAAATTCTGCTAATAATGGTGTTACGAATCCTGCCATTCCTGCCAACATGGCTAGTACTGGAAAAGAAAATCATTACCTAAGATGACCAATAATATTAATATAGCAGATGCTTAAACAGGTTAATAATTAACCGACTCACCAACGGATCTGATAAGAAAAACTTATATACCATAACAATCCTAATGGATCGACGAATTATAACAGCAAAAATTGCATCAACAGAACAAATCAGAAAGACAACTTTACCATTTGTCTCGCTCAAGAAGCCAAGAATCGTAGATCTGATGCGTGAATCGGTAAATCCGCCTCTGACTGAATACGATCCATCCATGATTGGTAAATCAAGGAGAAAAATCAAATGCGTGCATCGATTATCTCGCCTTCGTTTATGTAATCCCTATCCTTCGAGAATCATAGCAAAAAGTGCATCGAAAATCTAGATCGCCAACCGATCTAACCCAATAACAAGTTGCAATGATCGAAGAAGATTGGCACAGAGAAGGATGGAGCGTGTGAATTCTCATTAGGGTTTCTTGGAGTGGTCGGAGGATAGGGATGAAAATCATTGGCGATTTCGGTATTTAAGAGGGAGGTAGAGACAAAATGGATGGCTGAGATTGCAGGATGCATTGATCGCAAGGTAGTTGAAATAGAGGCGGTTAGGTTGTGGGCCTTGACGATTTCCTATGAGCTGGCATCTATAGACATCAGCAAATAATAGTCATCCACGTGTTTCGACAGTTAATTGCTATTTGAATTTTGTGTAAATTACGTCGTAGTTCCCTATGAAACTATTCATAGCGTCATGTTTCCCTCTCTATGATGAACATTTATCAATTTATGATCAACATGATCAATAAGATATTCATATTCCTGATAAATATGTCTTGTTATGGATAGTCCTTAGATTCTTAATCAATTTTTTATTCCAAACAGCATTGACCCATATATGTAGGTAGGTAGGTAGGTATGTTTATATTGTACGGACTGTATGTATGTATGTAGGGAGATTTAGGAAAATCTCAAAAATAAAAAAAAATTAAGGAATATTCTGGTAACTGTTCATCTGGACGGCATACACATATGCATATTGCATTGAAGTTGTTTCTTGGATCTTGGTTTTTATGCATGTGAGCGTGTTATGCACATGTGTATACTAGTCAAATTGCTTAAAATTACCAGTTTGTGTACATACCTTCTAGGTAAATGGTTGTCAGGTTGTTCCTCAGTTTTTTATTTTTTTGCGGTTTTTCCCTGAACCTGACCTTGTGTGTGTATGTGTGTGAGTGTGTGTGTATATATATATATATATATATATATATGGGATCACATGAGACCAACTTGTTTTCATGAGACCCGTGAAACCATTTTTTTATACTTGAAACTTCACAGCAAAACGTTGTGAAGGTAATTTTCATAGTGTTTTTGCTCTGAAGATTTGTTTTTTTTTTTGCCTTCATAGTGTGAAGTATCAAGTACAAATAAAATGGTCATACCGGTCTTGCGAAAACAGTCTAGTCTCACATGAACCCAATCTTTTTATATATATATACACACAACTACATCTCCTTATCCCCTTAAAAACACAAATCACACACACCATATACATATACACACAGATCACTCATATACACACAACAGACGCAAAAACACTCACCTGCAACTCCTTATCCCCCCCCCCCCAAATCACCTGCATAGTGTGTGATTACTTTAACAAAGATGGTCGATCAAAAATGTTGTGTATTATACAATCAAAGAGATGTGTGTGTTGCTGCAACACATACACACTTTCGGGATATGATCAATGGGTAACCGGAAGGGTGTTCAAGATTGAGAGAGGAGATAAGAGAGAGGGGGTGGTCGAGATCGAGATAAGAGAGAACGAGAAGGATATCTTTTATGTGTGTGTTATATTGTATGTGTGTCTATGTATTTATGTTGTGCAGTGAAGCCAAAAATGGTGGCCGGTAGGGATGCTTGGGTATCATCGACGTTGGGGGGCCATCGATCATGGAGAGACGTTTTATGTATGTGTGTATGCATGTATATATAGGGAGAGGGGAGAGATAGAGGAGTTGCTTCCAAACCATGATTATCCATCATATTAGGAAACAATCCGAATATTTATGGATCAGATATCCATTAGGTTAGATAAACGGTTAAGATTGATTTGTATGATTTTAAGAATTCAGTGGTTTGTATTTGAAACCCCCTATATTAACATATTTATAATATTTTTAGTTTTTTAATTACAAAATCGAGATAACGACAAATTGATTAAGATTCCCCTTATTTAACGGATTGAAGTTTAACTTCGTTAAGGATAGGGACCATTAATAAAACAAAATGCAACCAAGGGGATGCTCAAGTCAATATACTTGTTTTAAAAAAGAGACCATAAACAAACTACCGGAAGTCTGGAACCTAGAGATGGCCAAAAACCGGTCTCGGGTCGGTCCCAATCGGTCCTCACCTTTCTCATAACCGGCCATAACCGGTCCCGGCGTAACCGGTCCCGATCTCGGTCCCGGTCGAAAATGATAGGACCGGTATAGGTACTTCATAACCGGTTATGGGCCGCCGGTCCCGGTCTCAACCGGTCCCAACCGGTCCTCGCATTAAAAAAATAAGATTTATTTTTTTAATGATATATATTTTTAATACATTATAAAATTTACAATTGGGTCACTCAAATACACTTTAAAAGTGCGTTTTAATATAATTAAAATTACGTTTTCTTATAAAAATACATTATAAAATTATTTAAAAATACATTTATTTATAAAATTATTTGAATTTTCGGGCCGGGCCGGGCCGGTCCATAGTCGGTCCCATAACCGGTTCCGGTCCCACAAAACTACCAAAAACCTCAACCGGTCCCGGTTTTCGGTCCCATAACCGGTCCCGGTTTTCGATCCCATAACCGGTCCTTACCGGTCCCGGTCCCGGGCCGGTCCTTTGTCGGTCCCGGTCCCGGTCCCGGTCCTCCGGCGGTCCCGGACCGGGCCGGGCCGATTTGGCCATCTCTACTGGAACCTAAGGTGTGATTTACTCTTTTAAATTTTTTTTTTAATCAAAAAGAGAATTATATAAATGAATACATGTTGATGAACCTGTCAAAAGACTCAAAACAAAGATAGAAATACATATAACACATGAATTTATACAAAACAAAACAAAATTTAAAATACAAACTTGATCCATTTTTATAAAACTATATAATGATCCGAACAATATTATATATCAAAGTTCAAACATAGTTGATATACAAAATGACTAAAAGAAGAAATATGATCGAAAACAATGATCAATCTCTTGACTAGCTTCTATAAAGGGAAGTCCAATTATGCAAACCTTGCACTTTACCTTTTTTTTAGCCTCTAAGCAATTATGTCCTGAAATGCATATTTTCTAAAACAAATGAGGGTTAGACACCATGGAGTCTAGTGAGGATTCCTGATAGTGAAATAATCCAGTAATATACAACCATTAATCAAGTATTCACAATGTAGGCTCGCAATACTACATACCTAAATACGACTATCTACAACGGTCGTTTTTATAAAAATACACACGCTGATAGGATCGCTATCAGTATCGGCAGTGGAACCACAATTGAACATATTCGTGGATTATAGTTTTCCCTCTTGCGCGTAAATCCCTTTATTCCAGTAATAGTCACCAAGTCACAGGTGTTAAGATCAAACAACATGTACCGAATGCTATAACCCAACAAGGTAACAACAATAAACTCAACACATACCAATAAGGTACAACATTAAAGTACAAATCAATTTGATAGATTATGCATTTCAGTTTAAAATGGGTATAAGAAAACTCACTTTGGTAAGAAATACGATGAATTAAATCTTAACTGATACGAGAGTTCAAAACTGAACAGGAATCTAAATAAAATAGGTAAAGGTTACAATCTAAGCAATTAAACCCACTCATTATCTTTAAATAAACTTATTAGACCCTAAATGATACTCCAAAAGACCCCGAAGGTCGAAATATATTAGGAGGTGACTTTTATATAGCCATATTTTCAAACTGGACCCTTAACTAAAGATAGATAACACATTAAACCCCTAGAAGTATACACTTAATAAAACTACTAGAAGGGTACTCACGGAATGCAGCGAGATACTTCTTGATTTTAATATTTTATTTTATTTTTTATCTCAATCGATGTTATAATATGTCTTGTGTGATTTTGAAAAAATGATCATGTTTTTATTTTTGAATAAAATATAAATTTGAAGATATCATAAAAATTTGACAAAATTATATCGATATTAGTATCAAATTAACTATTTAAAATTTCTCATTTTTTGTGTAATTTTTTAATTATAACTTAATTTAAGTTCAATAAAGAAGTAATTTATATTTGGTTTAGTAATATAATTTTCTTATAAGATAATACTTAATTATTTTGTTAGAATTCGATAATTATACTAATTATATTTTAGATTTTTTATATTTTAAAGTGAAATGTTTATCCTCTATTTGATTATGTTTATCCGCAGTTAGTTACACGAATTCAAACATGGAGCTTTAATAAGTTGTACTTATGCGTAATTTACTTGTAATCTTGAATTTTAAGTAATATACATCAATATAAAGTACTTCATTCATAAAAAATGGTTTTTAAAAGTTTTTGTCAAATGCTTTATAATATAGTATAGATATAACTATGATTATAACAAATATCATTGATGGATATATAAATTCAAACAAGCCCAAATAAAAAGATGTTCCAAAAATGAGTGAAACTTCAAATGAGCATCAATGTCTTTACATGCTCAAAAATGAGAAACGTTTCCAAACAAGTGACAACTTCCTCAAAACATTTTAAAAGATGAACGATGTCTCTAAATTATTGTCAGTGTATGTAAAACATTACATACACTCCAAACAAGTGTTGATTTCTTTGAAAATAACTCAAAATGAGAAACAACTAATGTATCCAAACAAGTGTTGATATAGTAAAAACAATAAGATATCTCCAGACGAATGTCAATGTTGTGGAAACGATCCAAAATATGAGGGAAAAAATCATATGAAGAGGCATGTTATGCCTCCAATTGTTCGAAAAAACCAATTCCAGTAGAATGTATTTAGCAAAAACTCATAACAGATCTACCGAAAACGAAAACGCCGCAAGAGTTTTACAATGTTGAAATGTCATACATACTCAACAGATGTTGATGGATCCACGAACGGTGACCCGAACAAGCTTTGTTTGTATTTGGTTGATCGAACTCGAATAAACAAATATTCATACCATCTTCAACCAAATACATTTGTTCAGTGCATACCGATCATAATAAAATTCAATCTCCTAGAAAAACAAGTGCCACACACCAATACCATTCTAGATCTCCATCCAAATGCTGTTTCTCAACAATTTAAACACATATAACAACAATCAGATTGACAGTCAAAGCACCCTAACCAATCATCTTTTGGTGATCCATAATCGGAGAATCAAGTGCTTCCTTCTGAGTTAGTAATCTTTAATCAAACTTTGTGTGTGTAACCAAATGGTAGCTGTAAGCAAGTATAAATTTAAATGATGTTTCAAATACATACAAAAAACAAATCAAAGCTCTAATACAACGTTTTTTTATACTACTCAAAATCATAGCTTTAATGGTATTTGTTAGAATCAGGTCACACGTTTCTAAACAAATAATTAAGCTTGAACAAACTTACTTTTAACAAATCCTTATAAGTGTTTATCTGTCAAGTTCGTAATATATTAAGCCTAAAACCCCTGTGTGTTTATATAATAAAACACAATGAATCACAACACAAATGGAATCACAAAACCAAAGATAATAGTCTTTTAAGGAAGATGTTATGTTTGTGTGAAGTCGAATTATTTTGTTTTTACTTTTTCAGCAATGTACTTTGGAGTTATTTTTTATTTGAGTATTATATTTTTCTAGTATAACGATGATAACTTATTATATATTAAACCAGTTAACCCTTATATTTTATCTGCTTTCATGGCTTAAATACTGTGATATGGATGTCAAATCATTCTGTTTATGTGACATAAATATATAAAACCTACTTCGAACAAAAATAATGGTCTTTTCACTTTCCCTCCCAACGATTTATATCCAAACCAGGGTATAGTTTTCATCATTCTCTTTAAAATAAAAAATAATAATTTTAATTCTTTTTCCATTTTTTTATTAAATTATATGTAAATTAAATATTTTAGAGTAACATGTAAACAAATATAATATATTATTTTGAAGATAAATATTGGGGTATTCTAACACCACCTCCTGCTACTTCTTTCCCCTACTCTTTCTATACCCCCACCTATATGAAACAATAAAATAATTAAAATTTATTTATTTTATTTTTCAATTTTAACCCTTTAATATTTTTAGTTTTAACCCTTCAACTGTTTAAATACTTTCCTATTATATCCTCTAGGTTTTTTTATCTATATTATAATTACATATATTAATTAACTGTTATTATTAATTAATTAAGTATTTTACATATTTTTTTAATAATTATATAAATTAATTAACTTTATATTATTATTAATTAATAAAGTATTAAAAATATGTAATTTTTAAATTATATATTTGTATATGAATTTTTTTCAATATTTATACTTTATATCTTTATAAAAATTTATTATATTTATTTACTTCTTTATTTTTATTTTATACCCTTGTGATATTTATATAATTACAGTTCCATAATTAAATAAAACGATGTTCAATATTGGGTTCATTTTGAAGTTATTGACGAGACGATTACGATGATGTAACTTATTAAAATAAAAACATATTTTTAACGGATTTTAGTTAAAATACGATTATAATAATATAATTAAATCAAATAATATTCATTATTGGGTTTATTTCGAAGAGATTGACGAGACGATTATAATGGTGTAATTTGTTAAAATAAAAAATGAGTATATAAGATGAACAAGATGAATAAAGGGTATGAAAATGCTTCATGAAAGATTAATTTAGTTGTTAGATCTAATTTTAGTTAATAAAAAATTATGTATTTTAATGTGATAATGGTGTAAAAATAAATGATAGATCATAAATTAAATAAATAGCTATAAAAATATAAATCGTAAATATTAAAAATATTTTTCCACGGTGTATATAATATATAATAATATAATTAACTCAAAAACTATTCAATATTGGACTCATTTCGAATGTATTAACGAGACGATTATAATGGTGTAACTTGTTAAAATAAAAATATATTTTTTAAACATGTTTTAGTTGATGTACGATTATGTATGTTAATTTAATAAAGGTGTAAAATGAAAAATTTAAAAGTAAAAGGTGTTAAATAAATTAATTAAATAATTATAAGGGTATGAAGTGTAATTTAAAATTATAATATTAAACAAATTGATTGAATGTGAGAGGGAGGGGTGTATAAGTGTAAGGGGGTGGGGATATCAACCTCCTAAATATTTTGGTTTGCAAAAAATTGTAACACTTCTTATTTTCTTGTACAAGAAATACATATTTTTAAACGCTTTTTAAATGTTAACGAGATATGTTGTACTCTCTTCACTAATAAATATTAATAAACAATTTAAAACTATTCTACTTAATTTTTATATATTAATTATAGGAATATGTCAAATCAAAAAAATTGGGTTAAATGTATGAAGTAACAACCTACTTTTATAAAAAAAAAATATTATAACACCATATTTTCATTTTTCATTATTACAACAATGCACATATAAATTATTTTATATTAGAATATTGTAATTTGAAATTTTTTACATATTATATCAATGGATAACTTGTTAGCTTTTAAACCGGTTAACCTATTTACTTTTTTTTTTGCTTGTTTGATTTCAATGAAGTAATGTGGATGACAATTATTTTGATGACATGACTAAGATAAGAAAATAAAAGAACTTACTTCAAATTATTTTTAATAATTTTCATTTTTGATTGTTTTAAAAAATATTTACTTCATTTTCTGAATTTTTCTTATTACATTACATACAAATTAGATATTCTAGAATAAAATATTTTTTAAATAAATGTAATATATCATTTTCAAGATAACTATTTTATTTGTAAAAAAATGTAACACTTCTTATTTTATTTTGTTCAAAAAAAATACATATTTTTTTAAGTTTTTTTCTGAAGATGTTAGCGAGATAAATTGTGATCTACATTTTTTGTAATATTGTTATATTAATGAATAATTAAAAAATCTAATTAATTTAATATGTTTATATATCAAGTAAATTTTTTTAACAAGTATGATATTTATTTATAAGATAATTTTTTTGTGGTAAAAAAGTAGCAATTCTTATTTTCTTTTTCCAAAAAATACATATTTCTTATAACTATTAACGAGATAAATTGTGTTTTACTAGTGTATTAATATTGGTATGTTTACGAATAATTTAGAAATTTTCTAATTCATTTAATATATTTATTAAATAGTATGTAAAATGTCTAAATTATAAAATATTAAAATAAAAATTACAATGTTATGATAAAAACTCTAGATGTTATAATAAAATATTATGAAAGTACAATGCTAATAAGAAATTGCACATCAACTATAGTACTAGTAGACAGTGGGATGACATGAAAATCTGGTATAATAGCGAAATTTAAATCAAAAGGTTACACAATGTTATAGGTAATTTTTTTAAAGTACAATATCATAATAAAAAATAATTTGAAAGAAAATTTGATGTAATAAAAAACTGAAAATATATTACTATAATAAAAAAATTAAGAAACTAGGTTGTTATTTTATATATTTTGTCAGAAAAATATAAATAAAAATAATATATTGTTTTCATAATTATTATGTTTGAAAAAATCAAAAGTGATATTTTACTACTTAGGAACTTTATTTCGACTCTTTGGAAGAAAAAAAATTTGAAAAATTTATTGTGAAATGTGATAAATTTTTGTGATGTTATATTAATTTAAAAATAAAAAGATAATTATTGTTATATAATAAATATTTTAAAGTACTACTACTAATAGTTTAGGGACTATTTGTGCAACTTACCCAAACACATACGAAACAATGCATTAACGTGAGTTCGTTATTACTTGCAGAGTCGATCGCAGCTCTTCGCAGGAAGAAACGGAGAGAAAAATGGGTACAAGAGAGAAAGATAGAGATCTTGAGCGTCTTATACCAGTTACCAGATCAGGGATCTCGGAGATAGATGGTGATTCCAACTCGTCGTCGCCGGCGGAATCCCCTCCGGGGGCTTCTTCCTCGTCCTCTCATCAATCTGGCAAGGAGGTCTCCAATTTTGTGCGTCTCTCTTTCTGTGGTTTGTTTTCCAATGTTTCTCTGTCATTCTTGTATATTCTCGTTCGAATTTACATTCATAATATGCAAATAGTTTGTTGTTTTCATGCATGATCCGATGAATACCAGCTAGGTTTTGTTATTCCTAATGTGGTTCATACAATTGTTACTGATTGTTAGTCGAACGTCTCTTTTTGACTCAATTGCATCGTTTTTCTTTGCAACAACATAATTCTAATTTTATGTTCAGATTGTAGTTTTATTCCTGTTTAATCATCCTCCGTAAAGGAACTGGTACCAACCAATTCGGTTTCCACGTGTGTATTCTAACTCTATTCTGTAAGTGTATTGATAGAACTTCATTTTTTATTATTTTCAACATAGAATCTTTGTGTCAAATGCCACTTTTCATTCCAAAACTAGAGGTACACTTAGTCTATGGAGGTTCAGCTTTCAGATTGATGTGGATTCTGCTTAATTTTGTGAAAGGTATGATTCATAAAATGCTGTACAAGTACAACAAAGGGAAAAAATTTAAGTGGTAATCAGCAGAATTGGTGGAAATTTGTTTCGAAATTACTAGGTTTGATACCAAATATCAATGTGTAGCGCTTTTAATGAGGTGTCATAATATACAGGAGGCCTTCTAAAAAATTGAGGTGCAAGGCAGGGGTTAGGATGGGTATCATATGTTACAGAAGGTAAATGTGCATCCTTGAGGAGTTCCCTGTTCATAGATAACATCTTCATATGAAAATTTTGAGTAGAGTATGGTGGTGTAGCATGAGACTAATCAAGTGGACTCTCTAAAGAAAATATATCCACTCATTAGAGTTATAGTCCTAGAGAAAGAGGATCAAACTTTGATGTCAATGTACTGCCTGTTTTTAGAAATCTGCAAAAGTGTCACATCTTAAGTAAATTTCGTAAATGAGCATTTCTCTTAATTAAAGACTTGGGAAGATGATATGTCTGCATATGATTGTATCTCATTCAGGTTCTTGATTAATTTTTTCGGTTGTCTCTGTTTAGTTGCTTCAACACATATTAATCTGGAAAAATACTGTAGTAATTTACTTGAATTCAATGGTGAAAACCAATAGAACGCACATATACTGGACTGGAACCCTGAAGAATGAAAATGTCCGTGTTCATCCCAAAATCTTCTTTTCTTCGTATATGAAACAACTGTATAGTAGAAAAACTTACCTTGCGCAGCACTAATACTATTTTTCTCTCCACTGGATCTTCCTACATACACAAGAGGGTGGTCTCTTTAAACTTGGAATACTTGTATAAGGTTGTCTGTCCTTACCATATTAGAATGAAATTCTTAATTGGACCATCCATACATGATCTACTAGACACTTGTCTAGCTCCACCGAAAATCGGGAACACAGTAATGTAATTATATGTGACTCATGATCTATGTTCTCCAAATAAGACATTTGTCACATGCATCATTTATACATTGTTTAGCTCTGCCCTGTCAAATTATCTTATGGGATTGCCATCGCATAGAAATATGATTATAGTTGATGATGAAATGGATGTAAAAGAATTGGAAGCTCAAAAAAGATCTAGCTACTAGTTTAAACGAAAGTAGTCTTTCTGTCCCTTCCGACACGTGCAAAAGTTAAGTTTGTTTAACTAGTATTAATTCTTGCTAAAAAAACAAATTAGTGGTGATAACTGCCATTGTGAGGCTCCCAACATTTATGTTTGCAAACAACCAGCTTTGGAACTATAAATTGAGTTGTATTGCAGTGGTGTAAGTTTAGTTATCTTTGACGTTAACATACTAGAGCTTATTAAGGTTTCATAACAAGAAAGGTTGAATAATTCGTCTTTCCATTGTGCAGGCAGTGGTCAAAGTTGTTCGCAGTTGGGCTTCAAAAAAGTTCATGACCGGATGGTTTGTTCTGATTTCCTTACCAATTTCGTAGTCCCTTAGTATTCTTCTTTTGCCAGTTTTCAGCCATCCATTGAAGATTTTAATAGAAAATTGAGAATTTTTGTGATATTCTTTCTGTGTAAGATCCCCATCCCCTCCTTTCTAAAAAAATATTCACATCAAATGGAAAAAGATGGACCACATGGTTTCAAAACTTCTAACTGGTCAACTGTCTGTGGCTGTCCTTTCTGATTCCTCTTCACCTCCTTGCTCTTTGTAGTGCTGTTTAGAATATATATAAAATGTTTTAGAATAAAGTTAACCACGCATAGAAGCAGTTTTTTTGCAATACTATCACATATATTCACTACCCAATTTTCCACTGAAAAGTTTATGGATTATGTCGACTGTGAATGCTTAGATTGCATTATATACATACATATGTAGATCATGGATCCTTTTATCTGTTAGATAAAGAAGCTAGAGTAAGCTGGGAGCATACCAACCTTATTTTACTTTTTCTTCGATTCAAATTAAAAAATGGAACATCCAAGGGTTCATAGGGAGTTACTTATAGAAGAATTTATGCCAACTTATAATTTAATACAGGAAGGAAGCGAAGTTCTTGTAAGAGAAATCCTTGGCTTTGAACTTGAAAACTCTGAGGTTCCTCTCCTTCCATGTTTTCCAACAAATGGCCACCAAAATGGCTCAAATAATTCTTTTTGCTCCTTTTTATTAGCATATGTGGTCTGTCTCTAAAAGTTGTTTATTTTGCAGTGTCATTTTATTTCCCATAGCCATCACATTTTATGTGACTTGGTGGTTCATTCATTTCGTGGATGGAATATTCTCCCCAATCTATTCTCTTATGGGAATTAATACATTTGGTTAGTGCATCGGCTTTAGATTAATTTGTATTGTGATGTTTAAATGCATTAGCATGTTTATTAACATTATAATAATTCATTGTTTAGTTTTGTGGAGAAACACGTTATTAATTCCAGTGTTGTTTAAACAATCTATTCACCTGTTAAACAGTGTTCAAATAGATTGAAACCCCTGCAAGACAGAAATTAGTGCTGCTATAAGGAGTGTAATAAGTAGAACATTCTTTGGTATTGTAGATCTGTGTTGGAAATCTTGAAAAAGCATCACAAAGTTATGGTGTATTATTCATGTTTTAACATTTTAAAAGTCTGGTATTCTTCATTTAGTCGCATGTATTATCATTATGTGGGTCCCAGCTATATGGTGTGTGAAGAAATGAACAAGGAGGTATGATCAAAAATGAAAATAGCAGCCCAAGTAGAGAAATGATAATGAAGAAGATTAGTATAAGTAAATGTTTTTACAAATGTTGGGATTTTGCAACAAGTCGAAATTTTTTGATCATTTGAACTCTCCTATCATAAGAATTAATGAGCATGTGGATTGTGAGTTAGACTAGTAGAAAATGCATGATTTTGTTTTTGGACTGGATCCATGGCAGGTCTTGGATTTGTGACCTCCATTGCTTTCATCTTTTTGGTGGGTGTGTTCATGTCCTCATGGCTGGGAACCTCTCTACTCAGCTTAGGGGAATTCATAATAAAGAAGATGCCTCTCATGAGCTACATTTACTCTGCCTCCAAACAAATCAGTGCAGCAATCTCACCAGGTATCAAAATTGAAATTCAATCCTCCATATATACATTATGCGTATACATACACACACACACACACATATATATATATAAGTAGAGTTGTTTGTTAAATTTGGCTGGTTGCTTCAGGTCAAGGTTCACATGCATTTAAAGAAGTGGCAATCATAAGGCACCCAAGTGTTGGAGAATACGCACTTGGATTCATAACATCAACTGTTATCCTGCGTAAGAATACAGGTGCTGAGGAGTTATGTTGCATTTATGTGCCAACCAACCACCTTTATCTAGGAGATATAGTCCTTGTCAATTCAAAAGATGTTATGAAGCCTAACATCTCAGTCCGAGAAGGCATAGGTAACAACTCTAAATCAAACCATATAAAATTGCATCTTTTCCATAGCACTGCAGTTTGCAACATGATCTTACTTAAAATCCAAATACCTCAACCAATGAGGAATTAGGAGACTTGCAAGAATGTTTCTTAGGTAAGGGGTTGTTTACTGGTCTGGGCAGCTTATTCGTTCAGCCATACAGGAGTGTTTCTTTACTGCTTAATCGTTAAGCTATTAAGCCAAAAATTCCTGTATGGAATAAGTCAGGACCCTAACGTAGGATATGTTAAGCCACTTTAAACAAATTAATACCAGAAATGCCCCATGAATAATACCTTCTCTCTTTGCCTCTCTCAAAACCTATGGATCTTCCAGCTTTGAGACAAACAAATTTATTTAGACAAAAAACTTAACATATACAGGACTTAATGGGAAAAAAAGAAACAGCCCCTTAGTCTTCAATTGTTGATAAAGGGAAGTGGTGTATACATTTTATAGCTAGCATTGATGTAAACGAAAATCCAATTGAACTCCGATTGACATTGATTTTTATGACAGAGATTGTGATATCAGGAGGCATGTCGATACCTAACATCTTAACTACAATGGATTCCCAATCGATTTTAGCTCCAAGATCTGGGAAGTATGTTGTCCCACAAGTATAATACAACATGTATACTTTTTCAATCTTATTCACGCTCTTGAAAATACAAAGAACAATGGATGGAGCTACTTAGTTTAGCTTAGCTTTGACACAAGCTTGTGCATGTATTATGGTTGGTTGTAACTTGTAATTGATGACAACATTGTATTATTTGTATGTAATTCACCAAAGAAAAAGCAATAAGTTAAATAAATAAGAATGCTTTTTATAAATAATATGTTAAAAACAATATAATAGTAAAAATAAATCTCTTATATACAAGGAATTAGCATTAGTGTAACATTCATACTAGCCATAACAAATATTGTCCATGTTATTCATATCCGGACTGAGTGATGACCAAAAACCAGTCCAGGGTCAAACCTGACTCATATTGGTCCTGGTCTAAGATTTTCATTTTGTAATCAGTACTAGTCCTGACGAAAAAAAATACCCGGCCTATTCACCATGTACAAACCCGGTCTCTAGAACCAGTTACAAGCCAGGTCCAATTTGTCACAATTCTTTTTCCAAATATCAATTTTAAACGTATAAAAAATCTTGTTTGAAGATTTTCTTTTTAGACAATATCTTATTGAAATACACTTTAAAATCTCTAAGTAGTCATTCAAATATACTTCTAAAATCTTTTCTAAATCTTTTTTTATACAAAATTATTATAGATGTTTTTAAAATTACAACTTTTGAGATTTAGTACCAGAACACTTTGATAAAATTTCAAAGAACACTTGAAAAACTTGTATAATATATAAAAACTTAATTTTTTAAAAATAATCAGACCTATGTATAACAGGTCTTAATCACGTAAGTGGTCTTAGGCCAGGGAAGGCCCGGCCTTGAAGTTCGTAATAACATAACCAATCCCACACCATCGGTCCAAACTGGTCCTCACCAATCACCGTCCCAATCAGTTCCAATTCCGGTACTAATCCACTCCTGGGCCAGGCTCATTTTGACCATCTCTACAAGTCGGGCACGGTTATAAAACAGGTCTGACAAAGAAAATATCCAATTAGATGACTTTTGTTTCTCTCCAATCGACAAGAAATCTCACATTTAGAATTAAAAAATGATGTCAAGAGTAAAGGAGAGAGAAAGCTCCATAACGCTCCCTTCTGCCCATTCTCTGTTGCCAAATGGTCAGTTACATGAAGGAACCTACTTACAAGTTACAAAACTATTCAGAAGGTCAATATCCTATTTCTAGATCCAAAATCCCATCTCTCACCACAAAAAGACAAGACATACTTCATATATGGCAGGCAAATAAAAGAGAAACAAAAAGGGCAGAATGGGAAAGAAGGTTTTTAATTGTTGACAGTTGAAAGCATCCCTCCAGTAGCTGTAGGTAACACAACCTCCCAGCCAGGGCCTTTAAGTGGAATTGTACTGATCACAAAGTCTGGCTTCCCATCTGCTTCTTTTGCAGGGCCAGCAGCAATTAGATCGCTTCGATCCAACACTCTCTCAAGATCATCGTCACTGATATCCGTCTGTATCATTTTGTCTTCAGGATTCTCCGAGTCTCGTAAAAGAGCCAACATGTCCTCTTCCTAGAATTATATCAAATCAAGCCACCGAAAAGCTTTTATAATTTAAGAAAATTAATGCCAGAAAAGATATAAAAAGCCTACTTCCAGGACTTCCGTGCCGGTTGTCTTTTCCTGTTGAAATTGACCTTTACCGATCACTACATGCTCGAGCTTCAACTTGCTGAAAGCTCTTTTCAGAATTCGACCCTAACAAGTTATTCAACGTCAATTGCATTAAAGCAAGATCCAAGAAGGTAGATAAAGAAACCTATGAAATACCTACCTCGACAGACTGGGCAGTTGCAAGCCTGTACACATGAACAGGCTTTGTCTGCCCGATTCTATGACATCTGTCCATTGCCTGTAAATCCATTTGAGGATTCTGGAAAGGAAATGCAATAAAATTGTTAAAATGTTAAATGCCATCAGGATGAAAACATTTATAAGAACCAAGGAAACCTTAAATCTGAATGTTTTACCCAGTCGCTGTCGTATAATATGCAGGTATCAGCTGCAGTAAGATTGATTCCTAGCCCACCAGCCCTTGTGCTCAGAAGGAATATTCTATAATTGCTGTTCATATCATTGAACTCCTGGATCTGTTGTTATTGCACAAGATTATCATATACTGGTACGCCAAATCAGCTGGCACTAACCACCAAAATATATTAATATGACAGCAGTTATCTGGAACAAACTGAAGCAAGAAATGAAAACAATTCTGAAAAGCATGTCAGCACCGGGTTCTGAACTCTATGCTAGATTTTGGCTTCTAAGTTGACATGGATTTTTTTTGAATAAGATGGTCTAATTTGAATATACAAATCATTGCAACACTCAATTGAGAAAATTTTATTTATGTATTATTATTGTTACGTCATGTACTCCTTTTCTCTAACTCTTTGGTTTAGGTTCCAAACTTCGATGGCATTCAACCATTGGTGGCTGCACCTTGCAGATAGCTTGCAATTAGTTCAGGGATTATGGGAAAAAGTTCTACCTCCGTTCCAAAATATAAGAGCACTTTCATTCTTAATTCTTATAGCTTGAAACCGGACATTGCAAACACGAGTACAGTGGGAACCACACAGAATTGGAGACCCTATATTCTTAAATGAATGTGGCAACAATCAACATAAATGTGCACCCCTGCATTCCAAAAAAATATAGGTACCACTCACTTTTCGGTGGTCAAATAAACCATCTTCCAAATTTCAATATGTTTGCCAGGGAAAGACACTTTGCCAAAGGATTACTATGAAGCTATTGCATACACTGCTTACATATATCTATATTGTTTATAAAACTATTTTTGTTTCAAAAGATTTAAGCAGATGGTACATGTTAGAATACTAGTATGCTACCACAACCACAAGCACGCTTGAGGGAAAGAAAAGGTTCAAGTTCAACACTTTATGTTGTGTAGTCAAGAACATGATACACAATGCAATTAGCTGTTTTAGAATTTATCATAGTTTCCCTATGTCTTGCTTCGTTAAATGTAGAACATGATTTCTTCATAAAGTATATAACCCTAAAAGTTTGGGGGTGCTTGGAGTGAGAACGGGTATGGTAATTTTGATAAAGAGAAAATGAGAATGTTGGGGAATGCAAAAGAGTCCCCTCCCCCAACTTACTAGGGTTACTCTGCCAATATGCCACATATGTAGAGCATGTGCACCTTAAAAAGATGCCTAGGAAACAATGCTACAGTATATTACTGTGTGTTGAATACGGAATGTATGGTATTTTAAAAGTTGCACTAAACATAATTCTACAGTGGTTTTAATTAAATTTAATGAAGTCAGACTAAAAATGGAAACAGTATGGAAATTTACTAGGTAATAATCTTGTACTTCAAAATAGTTACTACATATGCAAGAACAACCAATGTGGAAACCTATATATGATTGTCAAAGTAAATCGCTAAATCTCCATCGCATGTATAAGAACAGCTATATTTTCGTTTACGGACGATTGGACACATCCAAAATTTTCAATATAAATCAGTTTGTTATATGATGAATCCATTGAAATCTGATTAACAAGAATCAGACTACAGGGTTCAAGAACTAGTATATGAAAACTGGATGAACCACATAAAGAAAGGTCTATGAGCTTATAGCTATACTTACTTGTCTTCTTCTCTCCTCCAATTTCACATTGCCATCAATTCTACATACTTCCATACCCTTCTCACTGAAGTAGTAATGCATGATATCCAAAATTTTAGTCCACTGAGAGAAAATTAGAACCTGCACCAAAATTAAGCATGAGTAGGAAGATTGAAAAGAACAACAAAGATGGTAAACCAAAATCGCAAATACTTTTGTGTCTTTTAGAAGATGGAATATTTCAAGTCTGATAATTACTATTCAACATCAGTAAGACACTTGTCTGAGACATTAAAGATACAAACATACATAATAGATTTTCTAGTCACATACATGTGTATATATCTTTTTCATCTCTTTGAGAAATGACATTCAACACCTAAAATTGTCAGGGTCACTAACACTATACAAATATAACATTTATATGCCGCATACCTTGTGCTTGCGAGCAAATAGCTTTTGCAGCAATCTTTCCAGCAACTGAAATTTTCCACACTGTTCTACTATCTGTTCTACAGGTGGATAAAAACCTGTCCCAAAAAATTAGGCAAATGAATTGCTTTAAGATTCCCAAGTAGGCATTAGTATATAATCACGGGTGAGAAATGACACATACAGGAACCCTCAAAAGCTGCCTCTAAGAGGTCAGGATGGTTGCAATTTTTCCGGAGCTGAATCATCAAATTGTTAAGCTGCCCTTTCACACCACGACCTGCAAATTTTCACAGGAACCGTTAAGCACTAAAAATGGGAAGCTGGTTTTGACCATGTGAAACCAAGTGATACTCTCACCATGATTACACCTGTGTTTCCCACACATCACAATCCAGATAATATTTTGGATGAATTTATGCCAGCTACTCATTAGATTGTACAATACCTCAATTATGTTATCTCATCTCAAACTTCCAAATGTTCCCTCTCCTAAGTCTCAAGCAGTTCAGTGTTCTACAATATCATAGTCTCTTCACATTCTGTATTCATTATAATACAGCCAAGTGTATACTTACATATTCTATTTTAGTTCCATCATTTCAAATTCTTTTTGTTGGTTGGGTGCTGTATTTTTAAATTTATCAAAGCAAAATGTGAATTACCTGTGTCCACTTTCTCACGTAGATACGCTTCCAGCGACTTGTTGACTAGATGATCCTGGAAGTTTCTTTGATGTTCAGTAAGGGTAGCATACAAGATAATTTCTTTCTTGCGAGGAAGCATATGCTCGACATCCTCTTTCATTCTTCTTAGCAGGAAAGGACGCAATATAGCATGCAATTTTGCCACCACCTGCAATTGTATCTCCACCTCATAAATTTAGAAGGAAAGAAGAAACAACAGTGGTAAATGCTGTTTCTAAATGTGTACATACATGTGCTTTTTTCCCTTCTGCGCCTTCCTCATTGTTGGACTTTCCAGAGAGATCAAACCTAAATTTTGATTATATCAGTAAGTACAGGCAAAAAACAGCATGATTGCATTTGCAGCAGTTATTAGGTCTTTACATATAAGAATATAAGATCGAGTTGTTATTTGAATTACCCCAACAAAGATACAACTTGAGATTTATATTAATCAATATCATATTAACAAGGAAAAACAACAGGAGAAAGAAGCCATGCATAAACTAAATATGCATTTACCATGACTCAAATTCCTCATGGGATGAGAAAATATCAGGCAAGATGAAATTCAGCAATGACCAAAGTTCTGCTAGATTGTTCTGAAGAGGTGTACCAGTCAACAAAAGCTTGTTTTCAACATGCAGCCATTTTAACTCTCTCAATAATTTGCATTGAGAATTTTTCAATCTGTGACCCTGCAAGTAATGAAAATTAATAATAGGGGGTGATGTATCAGCATGGGAGACTATGGCAAAATTAAGTTTCTGCATACGCTTTTAAGTGGTAAAGAATAAGAGGCATAACACAATCTAAAAGAACCAGTTAGTTATAAGCACCTCATCAACCACGAGATATTTCCAATTGTAATGCCTCAAGTGTTTCTTAGCATCGTTCATTGCTATTTCATATGAGGTAATTACAATGGGAAATTTTGGGCCTACTGATTTTGGCATACTCTTTCTCCTTATTCCATCCCTCTCCGTCCTATTCCCATGATAGATAATTGCATTCACAGAGGGCACAAACCTTCACAAACAGGAAAAGATGAGTTGAAAAGTTATTTGGCAAGAAAAAAAAACAAATAAATAGCAACTGGCTAGACCAAGAGAGATGATACCTTGATATCTCATTTGCCCAATTTGACAGAGTAGATAAAGGAGCAATAACCAAGTATGGGCCATCCAAGCCCTTCCCTTTTAGATGTGCAAGAAAACCAATAGTTTGGATTGTCTTGCCAAGCCCCATCTGGTCTGCAAGAATACCATTAAGGCCATTTTGCCATAATGAGATTAACCATTTGACACCTTTAATTTGATAAGGTTTCAATTTTCCACCAGTCAACAAGGGAACAAGCTCAGCCTGCTCTTTTTCAGCTTTCTCTTCCTTGCTAAGATTAATATCTTTAGAGGGAGTGCCTTCTTCAGACCGTGTAAGCATGGCTGCCACAGCTTTCTTGGCCTTCCCCTAAAAACATAAAGCAATATTCTCATGCCTTTAGTAAAAGATCTTTCATGTTCACTATGAAAAGGATGGGGACTACTAATAAGATGCAGATCTACAATATGGAAATGTAGAAAGAGAGAAGGCCACAAAGAAGTAGCTATATATGAGAAGATCTGTGACCATACAGCAAAAATCGTGTGTTTTATACTCAACTAGTTGCTCAGATTGGAGTAAAGAAAATGTAAATGCTATTTTAATTTAAACAGGCATGCTTATCACAGAGAATCTCATCCCAAAAGGCCAAAACCAAACAGAGGCATATTGTTGGTGACGACCCCTGTTTCAAACAGAGCATCAGCTGCCATTTGAAATTACTTCCCACACCCTTCTTCACCTACTAAAACAGAAAAAGCAGTTTGCTAAGCAAAAAAGAAAGTGCAGCTTGGAAAAGAACCATTATATAGCATGGTGTCATTTTAGTTGTTCTAGAAAAATTCATAACCAGATTTGCCAAAACAAGTCACGAGTTCATCTGTAACTCAAGTTCAATTGAAATCACTAGTCAACATCAAGAAAATTAATGTAAGTTCAAGAACCACACAAACATGGGTCAAAAAGACCCTCTTGCTTCGGTCTTCTAACTTTTAACTGAGTAACAAGTAAATAGTAGATTAGGAAATAACTTATGCCGGTTTCAAATTAATCATCAAACTATCATAACAATGTGTGCTATTATGCTACAAAAAACCTGCTCCCTTGCAACCAACTTAATCGATTCAATATATTTGAGACATAACATCACATGTTACAGACCTAGAGATATGCCCCATAAATCTCAATGAAAAAATAAAAGCATATGCCTTGAACCTATTGAAACGCATCATTTCACGTCCAAAAGGTAATTGACAGACATCATATTAGTAACGATGAAGGTTGAAGTGCCATGTCTCACTAACATACAAAAATGGGTTAACATGTAATATAAAATGCAAATTATTAAGATAAGTCATTACTCTGTTGTAATTTGAGGCAGCTTTTCTTTTTGAACCACGAACTCTCTTCTTCTCCTCCTTAACTTCAACAACATCTTCGGTCAACCCATTCTACAATAACTCAGAAAATGTCACCAACAGATAATTTATGAACAAAAGGCAGAAGATGAAAGGAGACATAAGAGGATACCTTTGTTATGTCATCCATTTTCTCCAACAAGAACTCAGAATAAAGCTGAGTCTGAGTAAGAAGCTCGTCCAGCTTAGTGAATTGTGTTTCACTCAAGGGGGGCGCTTCTTTTTCCATATTTTCTTCTTCAAGATGCCGTTGCTTTTCAAGCTTATCTTCCTCCTCTGCCATTGCAGTTGATATGAGAGAAGCGTCCCCATTTTTTGCCTCAAGAAACAGTTCCTCGTCCACCTTCACACCAACTTTCTCCTTGCAGATGTCCTTCAAAATAAGTCGGGAATTGCCAGTAAGAAAATACCTAAAGAACTACACCTTTTAAACAGAATGTTTAGGCAGGAACTCCAACAGCAGAACAGATGGCAACAATCTATCCATATGGTTACACCTATTGCATTACTACCAGACAGCACAAATACTCGCATCGCAGTATCTTGTTCCTCTTTCACAAAAACATCCAAGGATCTTATAACTAAAGTGAGGATCGAGAAACTAGTGAAGGTAACATAAATAACATACACGCACGCACGAACAAAAATTTCATTTTAAGCATATACAAAGTAAAGTAAATAAGGCACAAACGGAAAGTGCAAAAAAGTATAAGATAATAACACACCTCGTCCTCAAGCACCGACGTCGGAGAATCTGCTTGTGGTTCTTCCACGACTTCATTTTTAGGCACCATCTCTCGGACAAAACCCTAAAAAACAAAAAGTAAGTTTTCAAGACAGAAAAAAAAGAAAAATTATATAAAAACAAATCAGAACTTAAATCACAAACACAATGTATTGAAAGTCTTAAGAACAAAAACTGTAAAATCAAAAGTTGAACAATCGCATTTTTTAAGCATGTTAGGGAGTCAAATTTCAGCAAATATAAGCGAATTCCAGCATGAATCAGATAAATAAGTAGAAGTATTGCAGATTAGTGAGCGAAACCTACTTGAATATCTGCAGGAAGCTTGAAGGAGAAGGAGAAGGAGGATGGAAGGTCCGATATCAATGGAGATTGGAGAGTGGCAGAGAGAGGGGGGGGGGTTATTTAATGGGCTGGTCTAATCGAGGAGTGGGCGGGAAAGTGTGAAGTTGCTTTTATGCCCAGGAAAGAGGACACAATTACGAGTGGAGCCATTTTCAAATTCATTCCATGAATCGAGGAAAACAATTTATGCCCATAAAACAAATTCAACCTCCATTCCAATCCTGGTGGGTGCGGTTTTAATATCATTATTATAGTAAACATTTGAGTATTCTTTTTGTTTATATAAATTAAAAAATAAGGTCATAAAAAGAATTATTATTGGGAAATGTTTTTATAGTTTCATTTTTATATCAGATATAGTCTTTTCTCTAAGTTTTTCAGTTAAGGGGCTGTTTGTTTGGCTCTTAATGGTGACATTAAGAGCCAACCTCTTAATCGGTAAGAGGTTAGAAGTGTTTGGCAAAAAAAATCAAGCATTTTAATGGTTACATAACCCTCTTAACCATTTTGTGTCCAAACCTTCACTAAACCATTCAGATTTATTTTTTCCAAGTTTGCCCCCTCTATACAGCCTCCCCTTCACATCGCCTCCCACCCCCCACGATCGTTGGTCTCCGTCTTCCCCCTCCCCGATCATCGCTCTTCCGGTCGCCGTCTCCGGTCGTCCAGCAGCTCGTATTTCCTCGCTTCCTACCGTAGGCTTGATCTTATTTGCAACTAATTGATGTTCTGGACTTTTGGTTGATCATGATTTACCTAATTCACAGCCTTGACTGGGATTTGATAGGACAATTGTAACAAGATTATGGATTATTGATGATTTAACTAGGGTTTATAGCTTAGTGATATATGTGGATTGTGGTGATTATGGTGATGATGTAATAGGTTCATCATGGGTATTAGAGGGCTTTTCTGTAGGTGTGGTAGTTGTTCTTGGTGGGTTTAAGGATGTAAGGCCTAAGGCAAAGTCTAATTCATGGATTGAGACAGTGGGTGGTAAAGGGGTTGTGATCTCAACAGGGTTAGGTTCAAAAGTAGTGGTTTCCATGGGTTCAGGGACTGGGTTAGTAGTTTTAGGTTTTGGTTCAGTGTTTGTGGTTTCAACGGGTTTGATAATGATTAGGTTAACAGGAGGAGTTTCCAGTGGTTCTGGGGAAGGATTAACAGGCTCATCAAAGGTTGGCTTTGTAGCAGTTTGTTCAACAGAGGTTGGTTTAACAAGTGTGGTTTCAAAGTGTCTATGGCTAACAGGGAGCTTGGTGAACTTACGAGCTATGGCTATCTTGTGACATTCTATTACCTCATCTATGGTCCCTTGATTCTTGTTTTGATCTTTACCTATTTGATTTGCAAGGAATATGAGTGTTTGATACATTTGTATTTGATTAATATGAAAACTTGTTTTGAACAAGTATTCTTATGTTTGTTTGGATTAATATGAAATATGTAGTTACATTTACAAAGTAATTGTTTTATTCAGATATTTGCCAAACATCTATATTTCATTCAGTACTAAATCATACAGAGGGTTAAAATGGTAATTTGTTATCATTCAGATAACATTTACCAAACAACCATATTTCATTCAGCACTTAACCATTCTGCACAAAATCATTCAGCAATTGTCAAACAGCCCCTAAGTTTTCTTTAATAAACATGCATTTTTGTCTATTCCACCATCCTCTTTCCTTAACTTTTATTTTCAATAGCATATTTGTTCCCTCAAACTATTTTTTATTTTGTAACATACTTGGTCCCTCAAATTAATTTACATTATTATAACAAATTTTGGTCTCTCAAACTATTTTTTATTTTTATTATAGATTTGGTCTTTTCCTGATTTTTCATTTTTTAGGATTTGGTCGGTCTATTTAACCAATAAAATTTGGTGACACAAACATATACTTTTTAGATATAATTGGCAAAGTAACTAAATAAAATTTGAAATTAGATTTGGCATGAAATCCTTTAACTCAAATAAAATGTAATTTTGATGAATTTTTTGTTTTAATTGGTCGAAAACTAAAAAGGGTTTTAAAACTAAATATCCAACAATATATCTATATCTATACTATATTATAAATCATTTGACAAAAACTCTTAAAAATCATTTTTTATGCATGAAATACTGTATATTCATGCATATTACTTAAAATTCAAGATTATAAGTAAATTATGCACAAGTACAACTTATCAAAGTTTATTTGAATCCGTGTAACTACTTGCGGATAAACATAATCAAATAAATGATAAACATCTCATTTTAAAATACAAAAAATCTAAAATATAATTATGATAATTATCGAGTTCTAACAAAATACTTAATTATTATATTTATAAAAAACTATATTATTAAACCAAAAAAATAAATTAAAGAAATACACAAAAAAAAAAATCAATTTGGTACTAATATCAATATTTTTTTCAATTTTTTATAACATCGACAAAGACAACAAAAAATAAATGGAACATTAAAATCGAGATGTATTAGGTTGCATTATGCGAGTACCCTTTTAGTTATATAATAAAATATACAAATATTAAATTTAAGCATTTTATTAAAACTAAGTAATATACAAAAATAGTATTGTAGTTAAATTAGGTACGAAAATATAAATTTAACTAATTTATTTAAACTAACCAATATACACTATAAATAGTTATAAAATATATAAAAGTATTATAATTAACACTAATCGGTTTAAGAGTTAATTAGTTTTATTGTTATATGAATCATATGATAGCGATGTAATTTAACACATCATAATAACACTAATAATCTTCAACCGGTTAGTGCTACATTATAACATTTTTATATATTTATTAGTTTATTAATCATAAACATTTTTAATATATATAATTGTTAAAGCTATATTTTTATATCTTGTGTAACTCTAATATATATATTTTGAATATTAATTAGTTTTATTAAAGTACTTAGACTTATATTTTTATGTCTTATTATTTAATATATTATCGGGTATTTAATTTTAAAGTTTTTTTTTTTAATTTTCAACTAATTAGAAATTATTTATCAAAATTAAGTTTTATTTGAGCTAAATGATTTCATAAAAAATTATGTTTCTAAAAAAGATGAAATAATTCATGACAAAATCTAAGTTCAAACTTTTTATTTAATTGTTTTGTTGATTATGTTTAGAAAAAATATATGTTTGTGCCCATCAGATCATCGGATTTATCAGTTATTAAGTGTGGGGTTGATTTTAAATAATGGTCGTAACTTACAGGGTTTATTTTGTGAATATGCTTAAATATTTTTAAAACATTCCATCGCCTCGTGATTTATTATGCATATTATGAGATATTAGTTTTATCTCATCGGGATGATAATCCTAAGTAAAAAAGAAAAGAAAGAAAGAAGTTGGTAATCTGGCGTGTGTGTGTGTGTGTATTTTGAGTTTGAGAAAAACAGAACCGAGAAGAGGAAGCAAATATAAGCAGTTTTTTTTGTGATTCTTGTTCTAGTTATTTGTTGTTGTTCATCTTCATCTCTATGAATCTTAAAGCGAGTTTATTTTACAAACCTTCATCTTACAATGTTGAATTGGAACCGTGGGGTTCTTTATGTGGGGGAGTTATAAAAAACTGTTTTTATGCTATGTTTGGTATAGTATGGCATTTTTATATGATTATATCATATGATTGAAACAATTGTGACATATCAATGAAAGATGTATTTTGGGATAAATGTGACATAATCAGAAGATTTGTATTTTGGAATAAGGGTGACATATCAAATAGAGGTGTCTACCAGGATAAATGTGGCATAATCAACAGAATGTAAAAGCTGAATTTTTTATCAAGTTGTTAATTATTATCGCATCTTTATGATGCGATTACTTGAGTTATTGCATCTCATTGATGCGATGAATGATTTTTTATCGCATCCTTGTGATGCGAGGAGTATGTTTGTCGCATATTTGTTATGCAACAAGGTTGACTTATTGCATCATATTGAAGCGACAAGTTGGGTTTATTGCACCTATATTATGTGATGAGGTGGGGTCTTCGCACCGTTATGTTGTTAGGAAACGAGGTTGTCTCACCCATGTGATGGGATGAGTTTTATCATAATGCGATAAGTGAACTGCTTGGCTATTTGATACGATAAATGGACAACGTTTCATGATTTTGATGCGACAAAAGAGATTTGTTTTATTAAAATGTTGTTTATTTGCCATTGATATAAATATGAGTTTATAAAAGTGCTTGGGTGATTATTTACCATGTAATAGCAAACAAATGGATTTTTCACTAGACCTCAAGGGTTAACCCTCATTTGCATTTCAAAATGTACATTACAGGTTGGGCACAACCGGATGATAAGGGGAAAGGAGAATTGTGAATTTAAAAAAAAAAATGCTTGCATGAGATGTTGGGTTAATGTGTTATCTTTTGTATTTGAATATTTGTAATGCATTCAAGTTATATGTAGGGAATTTGTGGCAAAATTTTGGTAGCTACTTTTTGTAATGTAGCAATGTGTAGATTTTGGAACTGAATGTGTGAAGTTGTATTTATTGATATATGAAAATATATGTTTATATGCAAATGTGATTTTAGCGTGTTAGACCAAATTTTATTGGGTAAATGAAGGAACCAAATCCTAAAGATGAAGGTTGAAGGAGGGACAAAATCTGTTATAAAAATAAGAAATAGTAACCAAGTTTGTTATAATAATGTAAATTAGTTTGAGGGACCAAGTATATTATAAAATGAAAATTAATTTGAGTGACCAAATATATTATTGGAAATTAAATTGAGGAAAGAGGATGTAAATAGACAAAACTATCTCTTATTAACAGAAATAATCATATCCATTATAAAAATAAAATTATAAGGACATATTTCGTTAATAATTTTTTTAAGAACCTTACTCGTAAATTTATGTACACCACAAAGACCAAATTTATATTTAACTCTAAACATTTTATTAAGAATATGTTATCATCTATTATTCATATATTTTTATACTATTTCATAATATATATTTTGAATTTATTTATTTGTTTATTATATGTACACACACCTTGTTATTTGACAAATAATTCATTTTATACCAAAAATTATTGTTTTTAAACTCACCATTTTTTCTAATTCGACAAATGTATATATACTTAAATTAATGTCATGTAAGTCTAGCTTTAATCAAAACAAAAACCCTAATTATAAAAAATTAATGTAGCAATAATAATAATATTTGTTGGATAGACACTTATCTATACTGTATCATAAAGTATTTGATAAAAACTCTTAAAAACCATTATTTATGCATGAAGTACTGTGTATTAATACATATTACTTAAAATTTAATATTACAAGTAAATTGTGCGTAAGTACAACTTATTAATGTTTCATTTTTTAATTCGTATAACTAACTGCATACAAACATAATCAAATATAAGACACACATATCATTTTAAATATAAAAAATCTAAAAGATAATTAGGATAATCATTGAATTCTAATAAAATACTTAATTATTATCTTAAAAAAAATTATATTATTAAACAAAAAATAAATTAATTCGTTATTAAACTAATAGGACACTTAATTATTATATTTATAAAAAATTATATTATTAAATCTAAAATAAATTGATTCATTATTAGACCTAAATCAAAATATAATAAAAATTTTGAATCAAAAAATTTACACAAAAAACGAGAATTTTTAAATAGTTAATTTGATACTAAAATCGATATTTAAAAAAAAATTACAATATCTTTAAATATATATTTTATTCAAAAATAAAAACACTATAATTTTTTCAAAACCATATAAAACTGTATTATATCAATAGACAAAAAATAAAAAGAAACAATAAAATCAAAATGTATCTCACTGCATTGTACAAGTACCCTTCTAATCTTAATTAAAAATCATTGCAAAATTTACCAACCAAGACATTAACCTCCCACCTATATTCATTTTAAAACAATTTTACCATTGTTTTACACCTTTCTTCTGTTTTATTAAACCAAAACAGTGACATATTTAATTAATATGGTGGCACCTTTGAGAGTCGTAATTTTTTTCCACTATATTAAAACAATAAAGTGGTGGCACATGTCACTGTATGCCTTTTAAAAGGTTCGTCCTTTTTGTAAATACATCGTTAATTGCCTTGTCTTTTGTAAGATATTATTTTGCTTAATTAATGTGAACGAGGCGTTTTATTCGAACATTGTAAATGATGAAATATAAGGTACTCAAAGACGATAATTATAATCACATGATGATTTTCTAAACATGTTATGTATGTAATTCCTTGAACATTATTAAGGTATAAGGATAATTTTGTATTTTTAATTGTATTGGATAGTATAAATAAGTGTATAATATAATCCTTTCAGTAAAATAGTAGACTCATAGTTTCTTATTTACCCAACCCACATTTGTTGCTATGCGCTGGTACCATTGAACAAAAATTACACCATATACTTACTTATACTACCAAATACAAATTAAAATTACCATATTATCCTTACACTCTAATAAGACATGTACAAAGTGCACCACATACTCATTTCACCTTAAGGAAACACTTGTACTCTTGTCTAAAATACCCCTTTGGTCATGCCATTTAGGCAATTTTGGAGGATTAAATAGGCATAAGACATATATATATATATATATATATATATATGTGTGTGTGTGTGTATGTATGTATATGGCAATAATAGCACAAACAAAAAGTCATAGGGATCAATATACAAGTTGCTATATTTTTATTAGTATATGCAATGTTTGGTATATGATGAAATGAGAGTGAATGTGATGTGATTCATTTCAATTGGTTAATTTTCATTTCATTGTGTTTACTCTCCATCCCTTCACAAGATGTAATAGAAAAGCTACAACATAGTAGTGATGGTCAAAAACCGGTCCCGACGTAACTGGTTCCGGTCGAATAGATGAAGACCGATCAGACTAATTTATAACCGGTTATGGCCGTCGGTCCCGGCCCCATCCTTAATTTTTTTTAAATATTTTTTAATGATATATATTTTTAATACATTATTAAATTTGTCGTATGGATCACTCAAATACACTTTAAAAATACGTTTTATTACGAGAACTGTGAACATTTTTTTGCATTTTTTGCGAATTGAGAACTTGGTATGTAAATCTCTCAATTTTTTTACATATTTATAGTGTTTAGAGACAAAAAAAAAGGGCTAGTTAACGGCTATATTTTTTTTAAAAAGTCAATTTTTAATATTTCGGACCGGTTCGGGTCGGTCCATAACCGGTCTGGCCCCACAAATCCGACAAAAACCATAACCGGATGTAACCGGCAGTCCCATAACCGGTCCCCAGTCGGGCCGAGGCCGGTCCCGGTTCTGGTCGTTCGGCGGTCTCGAGCCGGGCCGGGCCATCACTACAAGATAGGTAAGTCATACATTGTTGTTCAAAAGTGACTTGTTGGTTAATAAATGGGCTTCAGCCCCGTTGGGATTCTAAGGTAACTCATTCAGAAATGGGCCGGTCTTGATAGCCCTGGGAAGCCCAAATCGTCGGTCTAACAATTTTTCGGCCACCGAGTTACCGAAAGATTCAACTCGGTTATCGCACAACAAGTTCCACAAACCCTTGTTCCTCCGTTAGGTAGCCGCTACTGAGAAATCGATCTCCCCCTCCACTATCTATCACCAAATCGTTTTGATTCATCAATCCATACATCCTTTTCTTTAATATCACAGTGAAATCTTAAAAATCTGTGATTCGATCTTGGAGAACATGGGGGATTACAATGATGCGTTCATGCGCAACAACAACGCTGCAGTTCAGGCTCGTACCAAGCAGCAGAACCGTGCTAATCTCATGCAAATGAAGCTGGTATCGATTTATCTTTAAACCCCTAATTTCGATTCTGTTTTAGTTAGGTTTTTGTTAATTGCTATACCGCAAATTGCGTTTTTGTTTGATGCGGCTAAAGTTGAAATACAGGTGCTTCTAATTGTATCTTCTACAGTGGATATGGAAACTGCTAGTGGTTAACATTATAGTTCTTAGTTTTTAGCCGGTGATTGTAGTTGTGGATCCGATTGAAAATTAGGTTTCAGTGATGTTGGACTTGGCTATTCAGCCTTTATTTTATAAAGGGACTTGGCTACTAAATTGAGATGACGTGAGATTAAGTAAACAAGGATGTGGTGTGATGAAGCTGTAGTTGAACTTGATCTATGATCCTGTTCGTTCTACTGGCATTAGCTTGCACTCCCCAACCTTAAGGTTGATTGTATTGGGTTCGTTTCATAGGGTCAAAGACCACTTTTTGACTGGAGACGCTTCATAGATGTAGAATTTGAACTCAGTTCATATCCGTGAATGCTTGATTTTAATTTCGGATGCTTCACATATTGCAGATTGGACAGAGTCATCCAACAGGATTAACTAACAATCTGTTAAAACTTTTTGAGCCACGGCCTCCTCTTGAGTATAAACCGCCACCTGAGAAGAGAAAATGTCCACCATACACAGGTATTTCATATATGTTCTTCAATTGAACTCATATGTTATTGATACATTGCAGGTTCACAGATCTAATTGGTTTGTTTCTGTTATCATTTGAAAGGCATGGCGCAGTTTGTTAGCCAGTTTGCTGAGTCAACTGACCCTGAATATGCTCCACCTGTACAAAAAGGCGAAACTCCTGTAAGTTGTTGCATTTGGAAAACTGTATATATATAGATCATTAAGCCGTATGTTATTCTTTTAGTTGTATGCTTTTTGTATTAAAATGAAACAGAAGTAATGGCTTCATGTTTAACATCATAATATGAGGTTGTCAATATAAAACTACTTTTTTTGCTAATAAGCTGTCTATGTATTTATTATGGCTGCGTATGAAGTAGTACATGGTTAGTACTCGCACAAGCTATTGGAAACCTGCTAGTCAACTAATTCTCTCTTATCATATTATTTGATTAAGTTTGCTTCTGTTACTTTACTTGATGTTAACCATTCTCACATAAACGAATCAACTGCTCTTGCAGCAAAGGAGTTTATGAATATGTATTATAATCATCTTCATAGTCAAATTTTAGAAACAGAAGAAAAAAGAAAATGAATCAATCTTTCATGATATCTTTTTATTACTCTTTATGTTTTTTGCCACTTTTGATTGGATAAAGCCATTAAAAGGTAAATACTTAAATTCTGAAAAGCTTCCTTTTCAATCTGTAGCAAGGTGCAGCATTTGTTTCAAATGGATGTCTTACATTTTGCGTTTAGATAGATATTTTTTCACCATGGCTGATGTTTCTAGAATTTGATTTGCCATTTGTGGGCTTTTGCTTGGTTTTTATCAGTTTTATGTTTTCTTGGTGATCCTTGTTGCGATTCAGGGCCAAAGGAAGGCTAGGATTCATCAGTTACGGCTTGAAGAGGGTGCAAAAAAGGCTGCGGAGGAGCTCGAAAAATGTAAGAACTCTCCACTTTCTTTCCCTTTTTCTTTTCTGTATTTATAGATTCTTGGATGTATTGATGACTGGAATTAGTAGTGGCTTATGCATTATGTCCATGCAGATGATCCAAACAGTGATCCAAATGTATCTGGAGATCCGTACAAGACGTTGTTTGTAGCTAGGCTTGTGAGTGATACTTCTTTTGCATTGATGGATTTCAGACTTGCTGTCTTTTAGTTGACTTATTTAATTAACTTGATGTTCTTTTACTTCCAGAATTATGAGACAACTGAGAGCAGAATTAAAAGGGAGTTTGAGGCATATGGGCCCATCAAACGGGTAGGTCTTGTAGAGTCCCTGAAAAGGGGCTCAAGGTTATAGCCTTTTGTTCGGTAAGAGGTTTTGTTTTGTGGTATGCGGACAACATCTTCATCCTGTTGTCTGCCAAAATCTTTCAGAAACGAAAATTTTCCAAAATTTTTCAATTTGGGAAATATTGCTGTTGAGCCAATGTTTCCTGTAAAAATAATAATTCTCCGGCAACTATTTTTGACAGATGTTATCATATTTTAGTAACTGAATTATCTGGAAAAATGGTATATATATAAATAAACCGTTGAAATGTTTAGTTAGAGATTTTTCGTGGGTTAAGCTATATGTGAATTATGAAGTTCAGTTGGAGCATTTACATAAAAACAATAATGATGATAAATGATGACATAAATTTGATCTCTCACTTCATCACCCTTAATATATGGATGCAAACTTGCAATGCTATGTGCAATGCACCTTTAAGATGTTGGTTGCCATTAATGATTTCTGAAATGATGAACTTGAGTTTTAAGTGTGCGTTTCCATTCTCAATGTGATTATGCTTAAGTGGTTAGCACAACTTGTAAATTGTGATGCTAGTATAAGATCTACTCGACAATATGGCAAGTTTGAGAAAATTGTATGCCTTTTCTTGCTCTGGAATCTGGATAGTATTTGATGGAGTTTCAGTGAAATCGGTAATTGTTCCTCAGGTATTATTGCCTACCCACCCTACTAGCCTATTAGTTTGTTTCCCCTCTTTTGTATCTCTGATTAAATCAAGATTTTCAAGAATCCGGGATTTTGGGTATTCTAGTAGCTTATAGCCACCATTCAGCTAGTAAGGTTCAAGGTAGAAGCATCATCATGGTAAGGGGAGCACAGTTTTTATTCATAAAAGGTACTTTATGTTCCTCGGTTTCTAGCGTAGGAACCAATCCTATTCCAACAAGGTCGCCGTATCCTACTTGAGCAGATCAATGATGCATATGCCTTTTGGTCATTATTTTCGGCAACACATGGAGACTGTCAACTTTTGACTGCACTGGGTAAAATATATTGGGAGTGCATCTCTTCCCTTCTTTTCTAAGTTCAGTATTTGCATTTCTTGCTACTGAAATTTTGCTTTTGCGTTTAAAGGCTATCAAAAACGTTTCAGAAGTTGAGAAGATTTCCTGGTATTTTATATAATATCATTTATAGTAATTTCTTATTTAAATAGTCCCTGGTAAGGGGAGGGTAGTATGTTCAAGACTGGTAAATTGGCCACGGTTATGTGCAACTCTAGCAGTGGTGGTGATGATGCATCTTGCCTGGGGAGCGTATGAATTAAAGGTGAGCACGGCTATTGAGGCTTAGTGCCTGTCTGCCGTGCATTAGGATTTTATGATTGCTAACCTTTCAATGACACTGCACTTGCTAGATTGGAGCATCATATTTTAGTTATACTCTGTTTAAAAGAATGCGATTTTTTATGCCTTTGGAGTTTTTCTCTAACTCTTTAAGAATTTCAGGTTCGCTTGATTGCTGATAAAGAGACAAACAAACCAAGAGGATATGCTTTCATAGAATACATGCATACACGTGATATGAAAGGTTTTCTATTTTTTTTTAATTTCCTGTTTCAGTTCTTATGTCATTGCTATTTGCATATCTGATGGATGATTTGTATGATCTATAGCTGCATATAAACAAGCCGATGGAAGGAAGCTTGATAACAGAAGAGTACTTGTGGATGTTGAACGTGGTAGAACAGTTCCTAACTGGCGACCGCGGAGACTTGGTGGTGGACTTGGAACAACCAGGGTTGGAGGTGAAGAGGTTAACCAGCGGTACTCTGGGAGGTAGGAAGTCTTATTCTATGTATTGCGTGCATATTTACATATAGTAGAATAGTTCGACTGAAGCCTGTCAATATATTTCATGATACAAGTAAGCACAAAAATCAAAGGAGACTTGGAGCTACAGAAGACTACATAACGTCTTTAAATCAGAATTGTTTTCTAACCAAATTTTAAATTTAAAACGGAAGAGTAAAAAGATAATGAATGTTCATTTTTCTTATTCAATGTTTCCACAGTCTGCACAACTGGTCAAACTGTGGCAAGTGACAACATAAAATAAGATTAGTGCAAGGTCTGGATTTGGTGATGTTATTACTCCTAGACGTGTAAATAGGATTTGGTTAAGCCAAATTTATTAAAATATGTACATGTGAAATAATTCAAATTCACATGTGTAACCTGCTTTGAAAAATAGAAGTTTGTACATCTAATTTAAAAATTGAAAAAAAATCTGCAAGCCTACATATAACAGAGATTAAATGGAAAAAAAGGCAAATAAAGATGATGAAATGTTCGAAGTTCGATCATTATTTCCGAGCTGTATTGGGACATGTCTGGACTTATTATGTTGGATTTGCTACAAGCTGAAAGTCCCCTTTTCTTATCAAGTTGTCAATAGACCACATTAAAGGTACTCTTTAGTTCGAGAATTGAGAAAAGTCTTTCATAGTTTACTCTTTCCACCCCCTTAAGATGCATATGGTCCTCAAAAGGTTGCAAAACGTGTGTCAACTGTTTCTGGGAATATGATGGTTTGCTGTACATTTGCATTTATCGTTCTAGCTTGTTATGGTATTCAATGTACTCATCAACGTGATTATCTATGTTGGTCAGAGAACAACAGCAATCAGGGGGTCCACCTCGATCTGTAGAGCCAAAAGTACACGAAGACCGAGACAGGTAATAGTCTATATAAATTGTTCCATATTTGTACATAACTCTATGATTATTGTATGATTTCCATCATAAGATCGCATGCTCAAATTGTTGATTATTGCAATTCAGGGACAGGGAGAAATCTCGTGACAGGGTAAAGGAGAGGGAACCGGAGAAGTCTCGTGAGCGGTCTCATGATAGGCCAAGGGATCGGGAACACAGGGATGAAAGGCACCATCGGGACCGTGACCGAAAATCAGACAGGGGGGATAGGGAGAGAGACCGTAGCGGGCGTGACCGTGATCGACACCGTGACCGGGATAGGGGTCGTGATCGTAGTGGACGTGACCGTGGTGATCGTCATCGTGAGAAGGATAGGGACAAAGATAGGGAGTACGAGGTGGGTGATGTTGAACCTATTATGGATCGTGGGCGTTCTCGCGATAAGGAGTATGAATATGAGAGACACGAGAGAGACAAACATGGAGAGAGGCAAAAGAACTACGAGCAAGGGGACCCGGAGGAATGGTATGAGCAACCGGAACATGGGAATAGTAAGCGTGGTGTTGATCCAGAACGTGATTTGGCAGGCTACGATTACTATGATCGTCAGGATGATCAAGAGCGCTATGAACATCCAGAGCGTGATCATGATCGTTATGATCAGATGGAGGAAGATACCTATGAAGCAGCAAAGCCTGAGGCACGTGATAAGGATCGTGAGCGTGAGTATAGACGATCTGACAGGTCCCTTTCTCGTGAGTATGAGTACTGAAAATGATAATCTGCACGTTGGTTTTTGTTGTGTGTTCTGGATTTTTTGTTCTTTAGACTGAAGCAAATGGATTTGATGCTGATGGGTTTGTTTTTCAAATGGATTGTAAGTTGTAATATGCAGTGGACTTGTTCGACTTATTAGAGATTGCTTGGCATTTGTTTTTCTTTGGGTTAACTGCAATTACTGTAGATGCAAAATGGATTGTTGTTGGGGTTTTTCGGTTGGTTTTTTTATTATTAACCTTTGTATGGAATATGGATTAAGCTGTCTAAAGAGTTTGTTTTTACCTAAAAAGCATTTAATACCCTTTTATGTCTGAATCGATCAGACCTTAGGGTATTAAGTGTGTTTGTTTTTTTTTCCTAATTAAGAGCTTAAAAGCTCTGATTATGTCTGAATTATTTAGAGGTAACATTTTCACTTAAAACCTCTTAATTGCTTTTAGAGCTTCCAATGCTTGCAAAGAAAGCCTAGATGTCAATGATTCAGATTTCAGATTTCAGACGTAAAAACAAACAGTCTGACTGATTCAGATTTCAGACTTCAGCACCACCTCTTAAAATTCAGAAGTGAATTCAGACTTAAGCACCTCTTAAAAAACAAACGCCACCTTAGACTCTGGATGAAACTAAATTGTCGGTACTGAGCAAAAGGTATTCAGTTTGAATGACAAATGACTACATATCTAATTAATAACTATATCCATTTAATCTAAACCAATTAATTTCCTACATACAATCAAAGCCTTCAATGGATTCCTAAGCTTCAACAACAAATATCTTGTAAATATAGGATCATCAAGAAGTTGTTTCATTATCGAGGTATACTTATGAACTGTATTAGCTATGATCGACGAGGTTTTTTGATTCAGGGAAGGGATGAATGGTCGTGATTTTTTTGCTTGAAGGAAGGGATCGATCGTCATGATTTCTTTGATTCAAGGAATGGTTCGATCGAGTTGGGTGTTTTAGCATTTCAGGGCGTGTTTTTATTCTATGATTACAAGGATATGGGTGGAAAAGAGAGGGCTTAATGGATACGACTCCCATGGCTTAGATTATTTACTAAAATTATTTAAAATATTGCTTAATAATATAAACCAAAAACTTCAAATTTAATATCGAATGTACTAATTTTAGATGGATTACATATTTGTGTTATACCAAAACTTTATACAACACACGGCAGTTAAAAAATCGTTACGTCAAGGATAATTTGTCTTTTTACTTTTTTATTTTAATATTAAATCTATTTGACTTTTGACTTTTTTGTGTTTTCTTATAACATATATATAACACACGGACAACATATACATAAATCAAGGTTTAAATAGGTGTAATGGCTCGTGTGACGGTGAGTTTAACCCCTCAAGTCTTGCACGTCATAGTAAAGATGTGACGTTTTTCAAGGCATGATATAAGATGACAAATTTGTATGTCATATATGTGTATGTATATATTATCTAATCAGATAATGTATTTTAAACAAAATGTACATTCATATTAGAATAAGATAAAACATATAAATTATTATTATAAAAATAAGTTTTTGATTAAATATTTAAAATAAAACTTAGAAAGATAATTTTACAACTTAATTTTAACCGCGAGTCCGTAACGTTTTATGAATTTGTGAAACTGTGTTTGATGTGATTAATTAGATCCATAAAAATGTAAAATCTATAGAAAAAAAACCACGTATTGCTATAATGTGTATGGCGGCGCACTATGGCGTGAGCCACGTCTTACAGAAACGCTATGAAAATGAAAACGACCAAATCATATGTGATTTTACACTAACGTCCAACGCAAAATTGTGTGGGCAACGTAGCCCGCAACCTCATGGCTGAAGTCGTGTGAATTACATATGATTCGACCGTTCTCTTATTCTATTATTGGGTCACTGTTTTTATATAAACAGGTCTCTCACTCCCTCGCTGTATATTACTTCTTTTTGTCAAAATAAAGAATGACTGTGCATGTGTTAATGTGAACAGACAACATGCATGAGAAATATACTAAGTGACTTGATTTCCTCGGAGGAATAATCTCCCAACTACAAATGGTACATTCTTTAATGTCAATTTTGAAAAATCAACTCGTACGTAGCTATCACTAACCCCTTTCCTTGCCCTTAATTAACGACTCTCCTAAAAACATAAGTTTTACAGTGTTTATCTCGGGGCTCCAGAACTTCCCGTCCCGAACTTCATCATGTCATCGTTGTAGGTCATTGCGTCGTAATCTCTTAACTCATTGCTGCTGTCCAAAATGGAGCCTCGGCTTGTAGCCTTCTTGTCCAGGCTATCTAACGATGCAACCCCTTCCAACACACGCACAATCTGGCTCATTTATGTGAAAAAAATACCGCATTAACATCACACCCATGAAATTTTAGGTAAAAGAAGTTGGAGTTGCACAATGGAAATATGTGGAACCCCATTGAATTACTCTCCAAAAGAGTCCATTGAGAACAGAGGGGTTTCCAACATATATTACGGAGAAATGATTGAAGTTAAGCCGACGTAGTACTAACACCCCCCTCAAATACAGGCTAGACGGGCACAAATTGTCTCAGAATGTCGAACGGGGATAGACGAGTATAGATTGCCCCAGTTTTTATCCTATAGTGATAGAACTTGGCTCTAATACCATGTGAAGATAAAAGGAAGCTCATTAGATGACTCTAAAAAAACCTTAGCAGAGAATTAGGATTCCAACATATATTGAAAAGAAACGGTCCAAGCCTAGCTGACGTGGGAATCTAAGAGCTAGACTGACTATTTATTCTCAATAATGTTTGAACCCCTTTTTCTCTTTGAGGGCTCTTTGAGAGAGTAAACTGATGGGGTTCCACATATCTCTATACACGTCTGTATACACAAGATACATTAACTCGCCTGGCTCATCTTGGGACGCCTCTTAGCAGAATGACGGACACCAGCAGCAGCACAAGAAGCCATTCGTGCCATCTCGTCGTTATCATAGTTACCTTCCAAGTGTGGGTCCACGAGCTTGCTGTAGTCTCCATCTTTCTTCGCATTGGCGATCAGTGGCTTCGCCTGTATTTTAATTTCAGAGTTAATAACCAAACAAATCATCAACACTTCTATATAAAATCACAAGATTATAGAAGTTGAAATTAAGGAGCTACGAACCCAATCTACCAAACTGTCATCCATGTCGTCACTTGAGGGATCAACGGGCTTCCTTCCTGTCAATATCTCCAACAACATGACCCCAAATGAGAAAACATCAGACTTCTCCGTTAGCTTCCCACTCGAAGCATACTCTGGAGCTAAGTACCTATTATCGATTCAATAGACTGAAGAAAATTATTCGCAACAACTAAAACATCCCGTAAAAGTCATCATTTTGAGATAAAGTTACCCGAAGGTCCCCATCACGCGAGTTGAGACATGAGTGTCATTTGCAGAAGTTAGTTTAGCCAATCCAAAATCAGCAACCTGGGTCCATTACATTCGTGAAATGCCAATGAACTCTTAAACAATCGGGTGTTAATATTTCTGTAAACTCACCTTTGCTTCATAATTATGGTCAAGGAGAATGTTGGCAGATTTGATGTCCCTATGGATGATTGAAGGATGACCTGCAGGTTCCCAATAAATGTTTAGTGTATTAAAAGATAGAACAAGAGAGAGAGAGAGAGAATCATTTGTGTCGTACAATCTTCATGGAGATAAGCAAGTCCTTTGGCAGATCCAAGTGCAATATGCACTCTAGTTCGCCAATCCATGACAGGACCCTTTCCTACAAATAAAAGTTGGATTCATGATGCATTCGGACCATGCACGAAAAATTCCTACAAAAAACATGGAACTTTTTCTTGTGTAACTTGTAAATATTTTGGTTTAGTCAAAGAGTGTATTACCGAGTTAAGATAAGTAAAGAAGGATATCAAGAAAACGCACCGTGAAGATGGAACTCCAAGGTCTTATTAGGAACATACTCATAGACAAGCATTCTTTGTTCGTCACTAATACAATATCCGACAAGTGAAACAAGATAGCGATGGTGGACCCTACTAATGATCTCAACCTCTGCCTGAAACTCTCGCTCACCTTGTCCACTGCCTGCTTTTAAGCTCTTTACAGCGACCTCCTTCCCATTAGGCAACACCCCTTTGTTCACATACCCGAAACCCCCTTGTCCCAAAAGATTGAATTGGGAAAACCCTCCAGTGGCAGCGGCTAATTCATCATATGAGAATTGGCTCTTGCTGAATGCTAGAGGCATGTTCGGGGATACCACTGACAATTTAGACCCTCGGAATTCATTACCAGTGTTCATTGTTGGTGGCTGTCCCCAAGTGCCGCCACCAGTGCCGAATTTGACCACATGGTCCGCTTTACCATTGTAGTATGGTCCACCTCCACCTACTCCTGGGGGTTCTTCAGGAAGATAGTAAGGTTTCTTCTTTTTCCTGTTGCATAGAACACAAACAATGACGATAGCAAGAAACAGCAAAATGGCGGCAGCTGCCGCTATTCCACCAATGATTGTTAGACTACTGTTTGTAGTAGAATTTGATATCGAGTAGGAGTCGGTGAATGATTTAGAGGGTGATTTTCGGCTTGAAGGATTGTTTAACTTGCTGGAAGGACTTGAAGGTGATTTGTTAGAAGCATTGCCACGTGTTGGACGAACCTTAGGAGGGCTGGGGGTAGATGATGTTTCTGATGGAGGTGAATATCCTCTACTGTTTTTAGGTGATAATGAATCAGAAGGGGAAGGTGGTGGCCGTGATTTAGGAGAAGGCGGTCGAGTAGTAGGTGGTGGTGAGGAGGAGCTCGAACGTGGAGATTGCGGCGAGGTCTTTTTTGGGGTCGGAGCAGTCTTTGGGGCCGGAGAAGTCTTTGGGGCCGGAGCCATATGTCAAGATAAACTTTTTTCCGGCCCTCAGAATTAGAAGCACTACACCGGAAAACTCAAACCTTCACCTGTAACCGCTGATCACAACAGTTTGCCATCCCTGTAACGAATTTAGCAACAAATATATAGTTTCTTGATTTTTTTTCTTCACGCGAATCTAGAGGTACATACCAGAATCAAAATTTCATACAACCTTAGCAATTTATGAACCATGTACCCTTTATACTGACATAAAAAGAATTTGAAGACAACCCACATTTTGAATCTAAATTTCTTTGGGAATGAAGATTGAAGCAGAGAAAAATGAATCTTAAAACAGAGGATAATTGTGTTTATTATCATAATTAAAATCCAAATTCCAAATTGTTAATATGAAATTAATCAATTGTAAATTAAACAAACAGAAATATTCAAAATCATGCACCATTCATAACATTCATGCAAAAATTTGAGATCAAACATTGGAGAAAACTATTATTTCTCAAGATAACCCATGTTTTAAGTTATCTGTTCTTTTAACAAGAAGATCTATCTATGAAGAACCTAAGATTTCTTCCAAATCGAATATGTCTATTTGCTAATGATTCGACATAATTTCAGGATCCCAAATCTTTAAAGAGAGAGAAAGAGAGATGTTTTACCTGAATGAAGATAGATAGGACTCAACAAAGGAAGGAGAGAGAGAGAGAGAGAGCTTTGCGATTCTTCCATTCAGAAAAGCCACTCGTTTCTTTCCCCCCTCTAACCTCCTACAAAGATGGAGGCTTCTTTCCCCTAGTCAATAAGTGGCAGCTTATAGTCGGAAAATCACCTGACAATTGTCATTTTTTAATCTAATAACAAAAGTCAAAATACCATTAGACGTTAGTATGTTACAGCTACTCAAGAGAAAAAGGCTTCTACAGAAACGCAAAACAAAATCTGCCCAGATGAATCAAAGGCTTGTTGATTTTTGGACAAAGGTAAGAATTCCATATATGATCATGATCCCGTTTTGAGTCTCTCTTTGACAAGTGTCGGCGTGTTTGTGTGTGCAAATAAAACAGTCTGCTTCATCAAAGAACAAGTAACCATGTCACAAAACAAGATTAGATTATCTTTAAGCTTATATGATTCACCAGAAATAACATATGTACATAACACACGTCTTAGAGGCAAAACAGTCCTCTAATTAGTGAGAAAAAACACCAATAATAGATAGCTAGGTGGCTAGAGAAACTAGACTGTTAACATAAGGAAACAACTTTGAGATATTAGAGTTCTGGAGGAACTTTGGTCCTTCAACCTTTTGATCTTTCACATGATAAACATACAGACAATTTGGTCCTCCAAACTTCTTCATGATGACAGCTATAACATCGTCACAAGAATTAGCCAAAACCCTGCAATCGACTAACTCACCATCTTCAAGGCCATAAGAAGAAATAGCAAAAGTCATGGTGTTTTTCAATGACATAATACTACCGCCATAAACATCCAATATGCACGTTCTCATGGGATGATGATAACGAGCCTTGACATAGCTTAACTCTCCATGGACCTTTGACAACGCACCACCTTCACCATAAGGGAGAGATTGAACCCCGTAGATCTCATTCTTGATATCAAAGGCCAACAACTCTCCACCTGTGGTTTCCCAGTAAACAACTCCATTCACAAAAACTCCATCACTTTTTATATCGGATTCATCCAAATCCACACATATCATATCAGATATCCTCCAAGAATTTGTCTTTGAATCATATATGTCAAAATACACAATGGGTCCCTTCATGAGATCAGGAAGAGAGAATGGACATACCACTTGATAACATGGCTCAAAGTTGAGAGAAGAAGGTTCAAAGACAAGCACATATTTTGGTTCTCTTCCGTGGTAGTAGCTAGAAGAGGGAAGTCTGATCCAATCTTCATTGGCAGGGTTACAAACATAATACTCATTTTCTTCATCAAAAGCTCGACAAAAGAGCAATCCGTTGCACGAGCTTCTGATGAAAACATTCTGTGGAAGAAAACGCAGAGAAGGGTAGGGAACTCCATAAGCAAATATGTCGAGTGAAATGAAACGAATAGCTCCATCTGTATCCTCGAAAAAACCAGACATTTTTCTAAAATATTGACTCTGCACGTGTGCAAAGAATGGGCTGGATATCCACTGATCCCATTCTTTAGAGACAAGTCGAGATCTGGCTAAAGATTTGGCAGGAAGGTAACGAAGGATGTGGTTCTTTGCCACCTCTTTTATGTCATCCTTTAACTTGAAGTGAGCAGGAAAACGGGAATCGAACACATCAAAATTTGAGTTCTGATAAGCCATGGTCATAAAATTGCGAACTCTACCCTGTAATTTGAAAGCAAGGAAGCTATATGAGAAACTAGAACAACATTAACAAGCTGATAACATATAAGCTTTGCCGTTAGAAGCACAATCATACAAACGAAGCTTTCCAATTTTGGATGACATTTAGTCAAACTTTTGTTACAGTTTCCTAAGTTTATTAGGGCAATGTTTTTCATCTTAACATTTTGCTTTCAAAGTCAAGAGACTGGAATGTAAAAAACTCATGGGTCAAGTAAAAAAGGCATACAAAAATATAAGAGAAAGAACAAGCATAAGACAACACTCTTTAACCCAGGAAACACATGCAGATAAAATGTCTATAGCATCTAAGATAATGATCATTTAAGGAATTCGCTTAAAAATATAAAATCTTTCAATCCCAAAAGTCCCAACACACTTGATATCGATTATGTTAGGATATCTATGCCAATTCAACAAAAGAAATTATCAAGTTAAAAGACAAGAAAAGCACGAGATAGGTGTTACCATATCAACAGCATCAGGAAAATCCATCCCTGAAAACTCTTTTTCTTCTTCTTCTTCTTCTTCCATAGGATCAGATGCATCTTCGAATCCCCCGTCCCCCTTTGCTGATTCAAATAAAAAAGATCTTACGTCTTCATAAGGCTTGTCCTCAGAAACAGTTATGCTGTTAGAAGCCTCTCCTTTGGTTAGAACAAGTATTTCAGACATTTCAGAAGAAAGAAAGTCGTAAGAACCATCTGATAGATCCTGCAACGAAATAAAGATATAGGTGTCATTAGTTTATACCATTTTCTTTTCTTCCTTATTTTGTAAGTTTCTGATCCATCGACTATACAAGACCTTAATTACATCTTCATTCTCCTCAAATCATACAAACACAACCCACTGTTAATTAGCCTAACCGAATAAGAACAATAAAAACCATAAATCCAATCACTAACATAAAAAGAATGAAACCACGTCAACAGAATAGTACCATGTTGCTAGAAACATCAGATTTCATGTTCAGATGTACCATATCACCATCATCATCATCGAAGTTGATTAATTCAAAAGATCCATCATCACTATGAACTTCCTCTTTGCACTCCATCAAGTAGAAATTGGCCACTCAGCTGCACAATCGGTAGGGCAAAAGTATAAGAAGCTAATTGAAAATTGATCTGACAGCAGGCTGTAAATTACACATCCAAATTCACACAAAAACGTATACAACCGTAAAAAAGGGAACAGAAAAGTCAAGATGAAAACTGAATAAGAAATCGAACACCACTAAATCATCAAATACTGTGGAGTAGTAGATATCCTGAATGAATATTATATTCATCACACATGAATACTTTTAAAGTCAAGTCAAAACAATTGGGGTCTATTCTTTTTCAGAGAACTGAAAACATATTCTACTTCAGCACAAAAACAAAAAAGCAATAAATCAAGGAGAAGATCAAAACATGAGATCTAATTCATCATCAAAAACAAATCAGAGAAAATTTCGTACGGTTATTCAAACAATCGGAAAAAAAAAGTTGAAGAAAACAGATTGATCATGCATGAATGTTGTTGGAAGAACCTACCAGAGATGCTTGCGAGAAAGTAACCGATGAAGTGCAAAATAAAAGAGTAAAGGTAAGGTTTATACGATGTTTTCGTGTTTGTGTGTGTGAAGAATTTGCTTAGTACCTTCCGCAACTTTTCGTTGCATGTAACGAAGAAAAGAAGTTGATCCGATAGCACTGGTAATGAAGTCAAGGTCAACTGTCAAATTACTTTTTAAATATGTGTAGTGAGGGCGACTTTTAAGTATATCTATACTACCTTATTAATTATTAATTGTACTTAACGATTTATAACATAGATTTAATAAAAGTTTTAAAAACAACCTTAAATGAATAAGGTATTGTTTTTTTATGCATGAAATCTTAAAAGTCTTAATTATAAGTTATTTATACATATGATATAACTCAATAATGTTTCACCTTTTACAACTCATTCTCTTAAGTTTATTTTCCCTATATTTAGTTTTAGTTCCCAATAGACATTCAAAATTTAATAGCATCCTTAATAGGAGGTGTTGAATGTTTGGAAAACATGTTATCTTTAAAATCTATATTACATCAAATCGTTTTAATAATGTATTATATTTAATTATTATTATTATTTAATATACATATATATTAATTAAGTTATATTATATAAAAATTATATGTATATATATATATATATATATATATATATTAGTATTAAAGTCTTATTGTAGTTATCTTTAAAAACTTAAAATAGTTTAATCCAAAAGTTAATTTTTATGATTAATTAGTTATTTTAATTGATGAGATATTTATAAAAACCATTTGTATTAAATTTAAATAAGGAAAAAGTTTAGAAAATTAAAGAAATTGTTCCATTTTGAATTATTAAGTTCTTGATTTTTTTTTGATTTAATAAGTTGTTGAACTCTTTTTATATTGAATGATTAAGTCGTTGCATTTTTTTTAATAATTAAAAGATTGAGTTTTTTAGAAAACTGGTTACTTAAATTATTTTAACCTTTTTAAAATTGTATAAAAAAAGTTATTTTTTACAAAATGACTTGAAAAATGTAATCACTTTTACAAAATATAGTATTTCAAATTTTTTGGGTTATTTTAATATTTTTAAAATGATGTAATTAAAAGATTGTGAAGAACATAAAATAAAAGCGTTAATATCATGCAACTCAACAAGTCATAATTAATTTCAAAAAAATAATTTATCCTTACATATATTTTTTAATAAATAAATCATCGAACTTTTAAAAATTGGTTACTTAGATCATTTCAACCGAAAAATGCTATATATCATGGTTTAATTGTCTTACATATCAAGTAAGTGGAAAACGATTTTTAAGTCACGATTTTTCCGTTTTAGTTCTATCCAGATAGTTGTTAAATAAATGTTTTTATAATACGTAAAGATATGATTATATATATATATATATATATATATATATATACACATCAATACTCTTAGGTCTTCATTTAATATATATATATATATATATATATACACACACATATAGATATATAGATATAGAAAGATACGATGAATACTCAAAGCTTATCAAGCCACCTCATTATATGTACATCTTATATGTGCTTGAGTATCACACTAAGGTCGTTTGCATGGTCGATCAGAGATGTAACACAATGGTATCACAATGCATCTTATATGTGCTTGAGTATCACACTATGTCTTTTGTTTAACAAAGTTAATATTTTTAGGTATCATAGTGCTATCACCGGAGGCCAGAGGCCGGGGGACGAAGAGAGAATAGAGAAGATAAAATACCTAAAATGTTATTGCATTAAAATTTTAATTCAAAATTATAAATTTCATAATTTATTTATTGATTTGTGGTTGAAATTGGATCTTACGGTTACCACAAACTAATTAGTTCTCTCTTAAATGACCCCCCCCACACATATATATATATATATATACATATATATATATATACATATATATATATATAAACGATCAAATGCAAACCATTCGTATTTGTATAAACAGTGCAAATCACCCTCATCCGTCGATTTTATTGTTTAATCTTATGAATTTTTTCATGAAATTGTTTCATATAATACTTTTTTTGATGAAGTTGTTTCATATATGATTATGAAATTTTAGTGCAACTGTTTCATGTATTTATTTAAAATTAAGATAATGAAAATAATAATATCCATGATTAACACCATTTACAATAAAAATTATTAATCAACATCTCATAATTACAAAAAAATAAATAATATAAAAAATTATAATTGTTTAAATGAGGTTTATACAAATAACATGGTTTGCAAAGTAAACTTACTTGTCTCTATATATACAGGGCCGTTCCTAAGCTTTTTGATGCCCTGTGCGAAAATAAAAAAAAATGCCCCTAAGCCTATTTTTTTAAAGTCAATGAAACAACGAAACATACAAATTGTTAAAGAGTTTAGAACCTATTCAAACTAAATGTGTCCTCCTCATGTTGATTTTTATTAATTATAATAAAAAAAATACAATGGGGGGGAATAAAAACCAAAACCCCGAATACAAAACATAGAATGATAAAAGGATAAATCCTATATTAAGATTGTACTTCCTTCTTTTTCAGTTTTCCCTTTTTCAAATTGAAATTAACAAAATAGAAACTTTATTTCAATATATGGGACTAAAAGACAAGGAAAACTATAATTAGTTTTTAACTAAAATAGTAAATTACATTCAAATTACTATTATAGTAAGCAAAAAGTAAAACTCAAAAGTTACAGGTCTAACAACTAAAGGCTAAGGGCCTATTTGTTAGCAGCTTAATAAGCTTAATGGAACCAACAACTTATTCGGTCAACTATGCGTGACTGTTTCGTAGTGGCTTAATGATATAGAAAGTGACTTATCCAGTAAGCTTCTAAAGAGAACTTTATATAGAAAGTCAGGTTTTCTTTCCAAACATGTCCCTTTCAACTAAAGAAAACGCTCCTTACATCTGCAAAAAAACTCTATCAAACAAAAACTTTTCCAACTTATACAAACAACTTTATCCATATAGAACTTAATAAAAAAACCAATCAAACGGCCCCTAAATCTAATGCAGTAATGTCAAACTTCAATGTAAACAAAAGTCAAAAGAACAATAATAAATTGTAAAATTCATAATCTATGTTATTGTGCATTGCAAAGAACAAGTACCCAATAATTAAGACAATATCACAATATGTTGTTAATGTTGTGGAGTGTGCTCTAGCTATGTTGATACAATGATGAGCTCATGTGCATTGAAAATTTCAATTATCAGATATTTCAATATGCAAGAGGAAGACTCATTATTAAAATGACAAAAGCCCTTTCGCCTTAGCCTATAGGTCAGTAACCCACACGACCACATGACCCAACTTTATAATAATCAGTTAGAAATTTAGATTTTCTTTTTTGCAAAAAGATATAAAGATTCATAAATCATAATATGACTCACACAACAACTTGATAAGTTCAATCAACGGTAGAAATCAGTCACTCGAGATTTCCATCGTTGATTTCTTGAATCTAATTTCATGACCATTAATCGGCTGGAAAGAGAACTCCATACCTTGCAAATCGAAATAGTCGAACTTTGAAGAACAATAGAAATTTGATTGAGTTGTTGGAATGATGGCGTTAACCGGTTCACAATGTGCATTCAGTATTCATCACTACTGGGCCTTGAGCCTGTTTTTATAGTTAAAGCTCGGTTGTCCAATTCACAAATTATTAAACTCAAAACTAGTAATAGATGATAACTTGATGCCCCTTTAGACTTTGATGCCCTGTGCGGCCGCACGGGCTGCACGTGGCCAGGACCGGCCCTGTAATATATATGGTTTGAAATGTGGTACTTTTAACTGGACATTGAGTCTAATCCAATAATTCAATAAAAAAAATATTGTTTTTACTTAGATTGACAATTAAAATCTGTTTTGTTTTTATTTCATTATAAAAAGAAACTTAGAGTAGAATATAAAGAGTTCCTGAGGTTCATGAAACATCTATCTCTCATCTTTGATTTTTTTAAATAATAAGGATCGTCATTAAGGTTTCATTTTAATTATGGTTTTCGTCTCTCACGTAATTAAATATATCATAAAATTTATTTTAAAATCAATTTTTACAATAGATATGAGACTTAGAGAATAGGAAGTGTTTGAGATTGTTTATTTGAAACAACTTATATTTTTTTACAAAAACACTTATCAACTTATTAGAAGTCATAAGTGTTTAACTTATTCAAAAACTTTTTATTACCGGTTTGACACCGGTATAAATTGTTTATTCAAACACTCAAAAGTAATTATCATCGATGCCACACCGGAATAAATCAATAAATATTTTTTTACAAACAATCTCAAACACCACCTTAATATAAATATTCTAAAACCTATTGTTGAACATCATGTGAAAAGACGAAGTCAATTCTATAGACAAATGCTTTTTGAATAGCATCTCCAAATCGACACTTTTTCGTTGCTGATTATGCCATTAACTACTATAAAGTAAAATTAATATTTTTAAAAGCTGTGACTTGGTGCCTAAGGTAGATATGAGAATAATTGAGAACCATCTGATTGATTTAGTTAAGTTGAATAGACGTTTGAGGTCCAAATTTTGAAAGATTTATATATATTTTTGCTATATTATAAAATAGAGAAAATAAGAGATAAAAAGGTGTAAAATTTTAAATTTTGATAAATATTTAAATGGGAAATTTTTTAAAAATTACACCAAAATGAAACCAACTTTCACCTGATTCATATTTTGGGGAACCAACTTTTAGAATCATTATTTAAGGGTCTTTATCAAACTTTTTGTTTATTTAAGGGTCTGGTTGATCTGTTGAACAAGTAACAAGTAATTCAAGGGTCTTTATCAAACTTTTGGTTGAATTTGCCAAATTTGATTTAAATTTTAATATTGACATAGATTGGTTAGATATAAAAATCTTAAATGTGATATTTAATATTTATTTTTTATTGCATCAATTAATTTTTTTCTATTAAATTGATTTTTTTTATTGCATTAGTAAAAAATAATTTTATCATGGTAATTTAGATATTTTTCGAAAAAATCTTCAATTTGATATCTGAATAAAAAAAACGAGATTTGAAATGAAAAATAGATTTTATTGCATTAACTTTTGAAAAAAAAAAACGAATTTTAGTTATTTTTGTATAATTATTTTACAAGTTGGTTCCCCAAAATAGGAATAAGGTGCAAGTTGGTTCCTCAAAATGACGATTTTGAAAGTTGGTTCCCTAAAATGACGATTTTAAAAGTTGGTTCCCCAAAATAAGAATCAAGTGAAAGTTGGTTCTCCAAAATGACGATTTTGAAAGTTGGTTCCCCAATATAGGAATCAAATGAAAATTGGTTTCATTTTGGTGCAATTTTCTCTATTTAAAACTCAAATTTTGAGAGAGAAAACTATTTTATTAACTATACCGAATATTTTAATAATATGATTAATGTTTGAATTGTTAAAATAGAATATGTGCTTTTTAAAGATTTTAACGGTATATGCTCTATTTTAGGAAAATTACATGTTCTCTACTTCCACGAGATTATAACCCCTACAAATTCGAGGGTCAAGCATCTCAACTCGACATCACCTCTGAATAAGGCCAACGACCACGATTTATTCATGGGTTTTGCTTCTGCTACAGTTTTATCACCACGTGATCACTTTAGTCCTCTTGTTGGTTCAATCCACGGCTCACCAAAACAATGGGTACAATAGAGGATTGTTGAAGGGGCCGTTTATTCCAACGCTTACTCGGTAAGCATTTATATGTAAAAATCAACACTCTTAATTTATTTTACCAGCTAAGATCGCAGTTCACCAAAACGGTATCGTATGCAATAAGTTATTCGGTAAGCGCTTACCGGGTAAGAGTCGTCACCTTCAATTACCGGGTAAGACTTCTTCCTCATCATTGCTTTTACCGGATAAGATTTTTGACCCTTGCTATGTTATCCGATAAGGTGTATAACTCTGTAAATGTTTATCTGGTAAGAGTTTAGTAAATAACCCATAAGTTACGTTGGGAATCTACAAGTTCGGTTGCTTCTATTTCTAGCGTACAAATATAAGATTGGGTTAAGGAGACAAATTCTCGATGTATCTTAAAAAAATTCAACAATAACCTAGTTCTACTCTTAGGCTTCTTTTTGTTTCTGGTGTCATGATTTAGGTTAAATAAATTAATTACCTTGTTCGGTAAGCTTTTAATCCTCTTATATTTCTTATATATCCTGACAATGTAGGTTACACTGTTCTTTATGGAACTAATAGTGATGATTAAAAATAAAATAAAAATGTACCAAATAAACATGTTTTCGAAAATTGTTAAAAGTTCATATAGTGAGATTTGGGGTAAAACCCGAGTCTTTGCTATTGCATTTATCACCTCTGTTTTCTATTAACCGACTTTGATTTACATATATGGCAAACTTGTAGACAACACAAAATATAACATCAATAACAAATGCAAATGTTCAGGTGAACAATTTCACGGTATAAAAACCGAAGTTAGCATCACTTTTCAAATAACAGAAATTGATGAAAGAACGATAATCGAAGGACGACAATGGAATCAAAATCATGATTTGAACTAATCAAGTACCTTAATCTAAATCAAACACTTAAACTATTATTAAATCTCAAATTCTAAAACAAATCAAAACCGCAATTTAAATCACAAACTACGAACATATGTAAATCTACTATTGTCAGATATGGGACAAACGACAATGGTGCTTGTTACTGCCCACTAATTGACCTAGTAGACGATGAACAATGGTGGTGCGGTGGTGCTCCATGGGGGAGATCTTGTTGGGGAAGAGATATGGTGGCGATCAGTGTTGCTAACAATGCAACAATGTTAATGGTGGTGGTGTACTGGCGATCATATGAATGGACACAATATCTCTCAGTTAACGATACTTTAATTAATAGTGTTAGTCAACGGACCACTTGTAAATCAAAATGCATAATCTATCGGTTATTCTTGTACTTTTTGCAACAAGACCTTTTCAAAAATTTGAACATACCACAAGGGCCATATAGTTCACTCTAAATAATCTATTTGGAACAAAAGAATAAACTAATAATTCTGAAAAGGAGGTATGCGATTAGGTATTTGATAGAGTGGGTTATCGCGTGTAATAGCACTAAATAAAAATTGGGTCTTATTTAAAAATAAGAAAATTGCATGCGGGGGAAGTGAGGCCTCGGGACCAAATAATTTATTTTTCATATTCAAATGACAATCATATTAAAAGCTGCTACTTTATTAATTTTCAAATGTAGGTCGCGTGACCATAACAAACACTTGTAATTGTCTTTTGAATATGAAAAACAAATAACTGCTAATAAAAACGGTGCATTCCTTTCATTTTATTGATTTGTTGTATTTTGCTACTGATATTATATTGATACATCAAGGAAAAAAATGACATTTTCTTTCGTTTTATACGTGTAATGCATTCGTTCAAGAAGTATGTTTAGGGACTTAGGGGCTGTTTGGTAGTTGCTGAATGATTTAGTGCAGAATAGTTAACTGGTCAGAATGATTAAGAGGGCCAGAATGGTTAAGTGCTGAATGAAATTATGTTGTTTGGTAACTGTTCTCTGAATGACAGTAAATTACCATTTTAACCCTCAGTGCCTAAACCCATGAAATTTCACCATTTTAAACCCCCCCCTAAATCTTGGTTTCATCTCTCAATTTCTGTTCTTTTTGATCTGGGGTGATGTTGATTAGTGGGTGCTTGTTGTAAACCTTTCCTTTTTCCATTTTCTCACTTGATTTGTGTGAAATATATCCATCAAACTACATAAAATAACAGCT